AAAAAAAAAAAAAAAAGAAGCAGGATAAAAAAACCATATACATGGAAGAGGAAGGAGTCTGGAATGCGGGAAAAAAAATGGGCTTCTGGAGTGTTGGTATGATCGATTTCTGATAACTCATACTTTAATTAAGTAGTTTATTTAAAAAATATATACAGTATGATATTAACATTTAAAATATACAGAAACATAAATATATGTAAATTATAAGAAGACTTGGAAAGATATAAAAAATGTTAACATATCTCTGGGTTATAGAATCATGAGAAATCTTCCTTATACTTTTCTGCTTTATCTAGGTTTTCTTTTCTTTTTTTTTTTGAGTTGGAGTCTCACTCTGTCACCCAGACTGGAGTGCAGTGGCCACTCCCGGCCACTGCAGCCTCAACCTGCTGGGCTCCGGCGATCCTTCCGCCTCAGCCTTCCAGTAGCTGGAACTACAGGTGTGTGCTACCACACTCGGCCAATTTTTTGATTTATTGAAGAGATGAGGTCTCGAACCTGCGGGCTCAGGCAATCCACTCACCTCAGCCTCCCAAAGCGCGGGATTACAGGCTGAGCCACTGAGCCCGGCTTATCTAGGTTTTCTACAATAAACATGTATTACTTTCATAATCAGAAAAATATAAACTAAGATAATGATCCCTATCTCACACCATATATATATATAAGTAAATTAACTAAAAGTGGATCACAGATTTAAGTGCAAGTTTTATAACTAAAAGTATAAAATTCTGAGAGGATAACATAGGAATAAAGCTTTGTGACCTTAGGTTAGGCAATGATTTTTTAGATATCACACTAAAAGCACAAGTGACAAAAGAGAAAACATAAATTGTACCTCCTGAAAATTACTTTTGTGATTCAAAAGACTATCAAGAAAGTGAAAGACAATTCACAGAATGGAAACAAATATTTTAGAAATCATATACCTGATAAGGGACTTGTATTCAGAATGTATCAACAACTCATACAGTACAATAAATAATAAAAGACAAAGAACCCAACTAAAAAACATGTTTCAGGCAACTTGGCGAGACCTCATCTCTACAATAAATTAAAACAAAATTAGCCGGGCATGGTAGCGCATGCCTGTAGTTCCAGCTACTCGGAAGGCTGAGGCGGAAGGATCACCGGAGCCCAGCAGGTCGAGGCTGTGGTGGCTGGCAGCGGCCACTGCCCTCCAGCCTGGGCAACAGAGTGAGACTCCAACTCAAAAAAAAAACAAAAACAAAATAAAAATAAAAAACATGTTTCAAAGGACCTAAACAGACATTTCTCCAAAGAAGATATATAAATGGTTAATAAGCACATGAAAAGATGGTCAATATCATTAGCTACAAGAGGAATGCAAGTCAAAACATACTCCTCCACAACCACTAAGATGGGTATGGCAAAAAGATAAGTGTTGGCAAGAATATGAGACACTGGAACACTCACACACTTCTAATGGGAATGTAAAATAGTGCAGCCACTTTGGAAAAGTTTGACAATTCTTCAAAAAGTTAAGCATAAGGCTGAGTGTGGTGGCTCATGCATATATTCCTAACATTTTGGGAGGTTGAGATGGGAGGATTGCCTGAGCCCAGGAGTTCGAAACCAGCCTGGGCAACACAGCAAGATCTTGTCTCTACAAAAAATAATTAGTCAGGTGTGGTGGCATGTGCCTCCCAGCTATCTGGGAGGTTGAGGCAGAAGGAGCCCAAGGAGATTGAGGTTGTGGTGAGATGTGATTATGCCACTATACCCCACCTGGGTGACAGTGAAATCCCCAACTCAAAAAAGAAAAAACAAAAGTTAAGCATAGAGTTGCCACATGACACAGGAATTGTATTCCTAAGAGAAATGAAAATATATGTTCACACCAAAACTTGTATGTAAATATTCACATTACATGATATTCGTATTCATATTAGCTAAAACATTAATAAAAATATCCATACTAGCTAAAAAGTGGAAACTGAAATGTGTCATATTCATGCAATGGAATATTTGGCCATAAAAGGAATGAAGTGCTGATTCAGGCGACAACATGGATGAACTTTGAACATATTATGCAAAGAGAAAAAAGCCAGAAACCACAAATGTATTATATAATTCCATTTATGTGAAATGTCCAGAACAGGCAATTCCAAAGGGATAGAAGGTAGATTGTTGGTTGTCAGAGGCTTTGGGGAAAAGTGTAAGGAGAGTGACTGCTGATGGGCACAAAGTTTCTTTTTAGGGTGATTAAATGTGCTGGAATTAGATACTACACACCAGAGAACTATATACTTTAAATGAGTGAAATGTATGACATGTGAATTATACTTCAATAAAGAATGTTACTTTTTAAAAAATTATCCAGAGGCCATGCAGAAAAAAAAAAAGAATGAGAACAACTTATAGGGGGAAAATGATTTCTTCTAGCAAAGGTGCTCTCATAGCAATGAGGATTGTGCTACTGGTATTTAGGCTATCAGAATCATATTATAAACTTTCACTTTCAAGAGTACCATTTTGGGAATAAGAAAATTTTATAAGATTTGAAATATCCAAAATATGAGTGTCTATGTTAACCACTCGTCAAGATGAAGCTGACCAACAAAGCTGCTCTCACTGATCTGAGCTATGCACACTAAAAGAGATCCATGTTGTTTTCTGCAGGTTAGAAAGAGGTTTAACACAGGACAAAACAATTCCCTAGACAGAGGGAAAGAATACCACAGAGAATGCTGCCAAGATTGTAACTAGCCACTTCATGTTTGTGAGGGTATGACTGCATCATGACAGGCACGAAGGGCCAATGCCTTATCTGCGGGCTCTCCTAGAAACCTGATGATTTTACCCTGGGCCACACACCCCAAGACACCAAGACTGACTGGCTGGGAGCAAGGTGCTGGAGGATGCCCAATGGAGTGCAGGGCAGCTTACATGGAGTGCTAGGCTAGTCTCAACAGGTCACACACGCCAAATACTCCCACTTTCCCACAATTTCCTATCACCTATTTCCCCAGCATGAGGCAATAAGATTCTTTTCTGAGTCTACTCGGAGTTGTTGCACTTAAGCCTCTCTGAGTGACAAATTCTATAATGTACTGCTAGTTGCAAGTTTAACAGGACTAAACACGGCGGTGGGGGAAGTGGATTAGAGAGGTGTAATACACAGCCCCTGCCAACAGAGAGTTCACAGTGCAACAGGGAGCTGGGTAGGCACGCAGGGACACACATGACTAGGTCTCTGGGGAAACGAGGGGCCCACATAATCAATGCCATGGTGGTTCGAGGACTAGGGTAAGTTTGGGAAGGTTTCCACATGCCATTTACTCAGGAAATATGCATTATTCTTAGAACATAAAAATGTGCTCAATTTGTGAGGCAAGTATGAATAAGTAGAGTGTGGGCTCTGGAGTCAGATGGCGTGGGCTTTGTTGCTGGCTTGGCTAGTCTGTACCAAATGATTAAGAGAAAATGGCTTAACCTCCCTGGGCCTCAGCTTCCTTACCTACAATATGGAGATAAGAGAATGTGGTGAGGAGTCAGCTAATATGTTTAAAAGTCTTAGAACAATGTGAGGCCCATGAATGTTAGCTATTCATATTCAGAATTTCATGATAATGTCTTGACATATTATTGATGATTTCATACAGACTTCCCTATATGACGAAACCACTGAATACCTTGTTCTAAAAAGTTCTGATCATGTTCACTTATGCACAAAGATTCAAGAGAAAAGAACTGGATTGTTTAGGGAAAAAGACTTTTGAGTAGCCTGGCCTTAACAAGTGATTCAATGTAACCTAACACATATAGAGAAAAAAAAAACTACCATGATGGAGGCTGTTATATTCTTAAAAGAGAAGAAACGCAGTGGGATGATCAGATGTGACTGCATTGGTGAGTTACATGTGAATTAGGACCACACTGGGTCAGAGAGTGATGGTGGACTGGAAAGGAAGGGGAGGTGCTCCTAGATCCTGTGTTCTCTGAACCCAGAGGAGCAGTGCTGCCCCTGGGCCTCAGAGCTCAGGCTGCAGCACGCCAACTCTTTGCAGCCCCTGGCCATAGAGGAAAGCAGGCAATGCTGCTAAATGAGTGGCCCAGAGATGACTCAGGAAGGGAGTTGCAGTGAATCTGCACCTTAGACTTCTGGGAGAAGCTGCTTGTACCTAGATGTTATGGTTCACTAAATAAAACTCATGTAACTTCTCTCAAAGTATGAAGCACAGGTGCAGTTGTTTATTAGATCGTTTGTTCCACTTTTGCAACTAATGACAGCATAACTGGTTGGATCCTACTCCTCTGCCATGAGGGTCCTGCGTCTAGAGATATGTGGTCCTATATGGTAGCCATTGGCCACATGTGGCCACTGAGCACTCAAAATGTGCTGGCCCGAAGTAAGGTATGCTCAAAGTGTAAAACACATACCAATTTTCAAAGACTTAGTGTGAAGAGAAAAATGTAATGCATTATTTAATGCTAATTGAAATAAATAACTTAAATATATTGATTACATGTAAAAATGATAATATTTTGGATATATTGATTTAAATAAAATATATTAAATGAAATTTACCTTTTGACTTCTAAAATGTGGCTCTATGTCAGTCTTGTCCAACAGCACTTTCTGTGATGCCAGAAATGTTCTATATTTGTGCTGTCCAAGACATCTGCCACTAAGTCACATGTGGCCATTGAGCACTTGAAATGTGGCTGACGTAAGTGAGGAGCCAAATTCTAAATTTTACTTAATTTAAAAAAAATTTCTATTTAAGTAGCCCTATGTGGCTAATGGTTGGTGCAAAGCACAGTCTAGACCAGGGGCTGGTAAACTATGGCTCACAGCCCAAATTCAGCACACTGCATGTTTTCATAAATAAAATTTTATTGGAAAACACCCATGCTCATTTGCAGATGTCCATAGTTGCTTTAATGATGCAATGGCAGAGGAGTTGTGTCAGAGGCGGAATAGACCACAGAGCTGAAAATATTTGTTGTCTGGCCCTTTACAGAAAAAGTTTGCCAACTCCTGCTCTGTACCATCACTTCCCACAGGTTATTAATAGACATGTTCCATCATCCAAAAATGCAAATACAAGGCAGGGGTATTCCATGCTCAGGCATGTTGGGGTCAACATCAGGTTAAACAAACCCCAGGACATCTCACTGCCACTGTAGGACTTCTCAGAGCTTTCAACACTAAGGTGCACTGTGGGTTAACAGAAAGGGGCAGAGCAGGCAGCTTTTACTCAGCTGGTTTGACCATGACACTCTTTCTTCCAGGAGCACTTATTAACATTCTCCCAAGTTAGTGTACCTGCAACAGTTTAAGCATGTCCTAGACTCATTAACAAGCACAGTTTTTTTTGCATTTGGCAGTTCTCAGAATTGCGGGTATAATTTTTATAAGGAAATATCTAGCTTCTTATATATTTTACATCTCTAAATTCAGTGAAGGTAAATATCACATCATTTTTGGTTCTTTAACCAAAGATTCTAAACAAAAATTCTAACATTTTATGCCTGTGTTCATAACACTACTCCCTTTGTCCTATCTCCTGCCCTTTTGCTGGGCCTCCTCCAGCTCTTAGGTCTCCTTAATTTTGTCAACTACAACCTCAAAAGGAAAACTCACTGCATCTTGGTCACTGGCAGAATGAAAGCAACTCACTTTAGGTACCACAGATCACATTGCAAAAATATTCAGGGATGCAGACTGAATATTAAGAAGTTTAAGAAGTCTGAACAGTCACAAACATGTCACTTTCATTAGGAATAACTCCTCCTATAAGTTCTGTCAAAGTGGCAAGCCCACCCCTAGTCCCAGTAGCAAGAGAAAGAAAAGCAAGAGGAGGAAGCATTCAGAAGCATGACAACGCCTCAGCTGTGGCTTCTTACTCACCGCAATGCTAGAGAAAAGGCTGCTGTGAGAGTGCCTTTGGACAGACAAGGCCGGGATCTTGCCAGGCCACGGGTTAACAATACCTGAAAAAAACATTTTAACCGGTCAGGGGATGATACCAACTCTATATTATTCTATGTATAAAAAAAGAAGCAAAAAAGTAAAATGAGTGCTTCAGATAAAAAACCATATTGAGAGCTGGGCATGGTGGCATTCGCCTATAATCCTAGCTACTTGAGAGGCTGACATGGGAGGACCACTTTGAGGCCAGGAGTCTGAGATCAGCCTGGGCAACATAGTGAGATCCTAGTTCTAAAACAAAAACAAAAACAAAAACAAACTGCAATGAAATGTTTTTTAAGAAGTTAGCAGGCCAGACACGGTGGCTCACATCTGTAATCCTACCACTTTGGGAGACCAAGGCAGGAGGATTGCTTGAGCCCAGAAGTTCAAGACCAGCCTGGGCAATATAGTAAGCTTTCGTCTCTCTTAAAAAAAAAAAAAAAAAAAATTAGCTGGGTTTGGTGGCTCATGCCTGTAATCCCAGCTACTCAAAAGGCTGAGGTGGGAGGATCACCTGAGTCCAGGAGGTCAAGGTTGCAGTGAGCTGTGATTATGCCACTGCATTGTAGCCTGGGCAACAGAGCGAGAGCCTGACTAAAAAAAAAAAAAAAAAAGTTAAAGGAAGACAACTATAGAGGGTATAGAGTTTCATTCTATCACTTTCCCTACTTTAAATACTATATTTTAAAAATGTTTAAATAATAAAGTTAAAAAATTAACAGATAAGCCGGGCTCGGTGGCTCAGCCTGTAATCCCGCACCTTTGGGAGGCTGAGGTGAGTGGAATGCCTGAGCCCGTGGGTTCGAGACCCGCCTGGGCAGCGAGACCTCACCTCTACAATAAATCAAAAAAATTAGCCGGGTGTGGTAGTGCATGCCTGTAATTCCGGCTACTTGGAAGGCTGAGGCGGAAGGATCGCCGGAGCCTGCAGGTGGAGGCTGCGGTGGCCGGCAGCGGCCACTGCACTCCAGTCTGGGCGACAGAGTGAGACTCCAACTCAAAAAAATAAATAAATAAATAAAAATAAATAAAATAAAATAAAATAAAAATTAACAGATAATAAAAAGAATGCCAGACTTAAAATTTCAAGACATCATATTCTTTTAGAAGCAATTCAGTTACAGTGACAAGCAGAAGCCTCCCTACTGAAATATCTGTTGATGATAGCACCTTTTGCTGTCACACCATACCATAGGGTTGTCATGAGGTGACTATGAAATTAAGTTAGGAAAACAGCCCATCACAGTGCAGTGAGAAGAAGGACAGGCTCAATCAACATGACCTCTCGAATGCACAGAATCCACAGTACTTTCAAACAGCACTTAGGCTTCTGACAATTCCTGGAGGTGCATACTGGCACAACAAGGTACATGGTGCAAGGGGCGTTTGGAAATGTAATTGCAGGCACCAACCAAGAAGAAATCCGAGGTAGCAAGCCCTAAGGCTGCCTTCAACTTCAAGAGCCTGGATCATCCCTGCAGCCAAAAATGGGAGAGTATTAGAGGGATTCCAGTGTCACTGCTCTCTCTTCACCTGATTCAGAAGTAACCCAAAATGGGGGAAGAGAGGAGGACACAGGTATCAAGCTCTATCTGTGGAAAGTGTTTCTGTAAGGAGGGTATCAGACATGCTGAAACCACACATAAAACTCCAAGTGTTGGAGAGTGAGAGGTGAGAGGTCACAGATTAGGGGACAGGGTCACAGACCTGCTGCACAGAGTAAAATCCATGCTGGTTGAGATGTCCCATTATATTTGCACAAATGTGGTTCATGGCAGGTCGAAGACTCTCACCTAAATGAAGAAGAAAGTTTGAGGAAAAAAATCTTGCCATAATGTGACTTGTTTATGTGGGAGGGAAAATTATAATCCAGGCCCAGGGCCACAAGGAAATGAGATACGACTCGGCTTGCCTTCCTTTTCCTTCTGGCCTGCCTGCCACCAAAGCACAGGGAGGTACTGTGTATCTGGAATTCCATCTCTCCTGGAAGGCCTGGCTGAAGTGTCACCTCTTGGGAGACGGGTCCTATCACTCACTAGCTAGAATGATGACTCTGGCTCTGAGTCCTGGTAGTACCTTTTCTGATCCCCTTCTAGGATCTGGCACTTTCTACTCCCTGCGGACACCTCCACTCCCCACTGGGACATGGGCCTCCAGCAGGGTCCAGAGCTCAACAGTGTTTAGCTCCTTCCCAGAGTCCAGGATAACGCCGAAGATCAGCTCTCCCTGCTGCGCTGGAGTCTCTGCAAACGAAGTCACGTACTCTTCACTCTGTGAACTCCAACTCTTTCCAGCTCTCTGCAGAGACAGCGCTGCTTCAGAAAAGCCCGGGCCTGGCCTCACAAGGCCTCTGCCACCCCCAAGCAGGCTCAGACCCTTGTATTCTTCCCTCCAAGTACTCACGGTGTCATTGCCATTCTATCATACGAGTGACTTCTATTTCATGTCTGTTACCCCACCAGGCTCAGTTCTGTGAGGAAGGGAGCACCTGAAGCACTGGGGACAGTGACCTTTTCTGTCTCACTCCTCACTGTATCTCCAGTGCCTAGCAGGGTCTGGCACATAGTGGGCTCTTTGTTGAATGAATGAATGAAATGACTACATGAAATACATAAGCACACTTTTCAGGGAAGGAGGCAGGTTTACAATGCAAATTTTATGGGCAAAATAGAATTACTCGTTGCCTAATGACTTTCCAAATGAAATGACAAGGTTTCAGCGAATATTATCATTTGGAGGCTGAGGTACTGTGGCAGTTATAAAAATTGAGATCAGAAGAATCAAGCCTTTAAACATAAATTCAAAGAATGGGAGAGTATGATACACAATACTGAACATACTCTGAATACACAATGCAGTCTGATGGGAAGTGCCAAGAGCACTTTCATTCACATGGTCCCTGGGCTGTCACTGAGGTTTGTGGTGGCAGAAGTGCTTCTTACAAAGGAGAAAAGGTTCCCCAAGCTCTCTGTGGAAACGCCAGCCAGGAAAGATTTTGAAGCAAGTCTCACAAACCTTTTCCCCGAAGAATTTTCCATGTTGAAGTGTCTGTGAAGGTGATAAGCATCGTGAGGTACAGCGTGATGAGTCGGGAATCTTGTAAGATTTCAGGCTGGAAACAAAAGAGTAAGATTACCACACATGCCATCCATTCCAGGCAGTGAAGCAACCATTTCACAACTTTCTAAGTGCACTGAACTGGAATAAGTGAGTCAGAATGTAACTATGTCATCATTCTTTTTTCTTGTGAAATAACCATTTCAGGAATTAAATGGCCAAGGATTTTGGCACATTAATGCTTAACGAAGGGATCGAATACTACTGGGAATGGAGACTTGAGACTCTTTTGAAAACAAGATGACCAGGGTTGGCTTGCTGCATGTACTTTTGTCTGTCTATATGAACAGTGCAGTGACAGAGAAGAAAAGCAATTGAGTGCAACAGGCTCAGACTTCTGGATTCACCACTTACTAGCTATGAGATCTTGGGCAAGTTTCTTAACCTCTCTGTGCCTCGGTTTCCTCATTTGTTGCACAATGATAGTAACACTGTTTTCCTAATAAGGTTGCTATGAGGAATAAATGGATTAATGCATGTAAAGTTCTAAGAACAGTGCCTGGCAAATCAATAACTCCACACAAAGTTGGCTGTTGCTACAATTATGATAGTTCGTTATTTTCTAAGAGTAAGTCAGACAAAAGGCCTAACTACTTTCTAGGCTCAGAGACTCATAGCATGTACACCTGGAAGGGACCTTAGAGGCTCGAGTTCAAAGCCCCAAGCCCACAGAGGACAAGAGAGGGGAAGAGACTTATTCAAGACAACACAGGAAATCAGCAGAATTAGGACTAAAATTCAGATATTCCTGACTCCAAATCTAGTATCTTTTCTCGTAATGTCTGTTTCTTCGCACAATATTTTACAATTTGTTCAAGTAGAAGAGCTGCTTCTCAAAAAGCAGTCTGCTGTGCAGTGTAGCTACAGAAAGCAGAGAGAAGGGGATCTGCTTGGCTCAAGTGAAGGCAGGGAAACAACCTGCCTGTGTGGCTTGAGGCATTTCAGTGGAATTCCAGGGCTCTGAGGAACAGGGTGTGAAGACCACTGCTGAGCCATATGCTTCCCCTGACAAGTCGGCAGTGGCTTGCTACTGGCTTGCTTCCCTGGCTGGGTGGCAGCCAAGAGTCATTCCTGAGTGCCCTAAGAGGGATGCTTGGGAATGGATCACTGGGGATTCTGGGACATTTGCTCCATTCCTTGGTTGCTTCCTGAGTCCTTATCAACCCTCTGGCCCTAAAACCTCTCCCTCCTGATATGCAGAGTCAAAATGGTTGCTATTCATGTTTGCTCACACCCGTCTGTCTTCTCAGAACACAGGGCTGGACAAGTGACAGTATCCCATCCCTCTCACTAGCCACTGGTTGACTCAGAGACACACTCAGGATTCCATTGGGCTCTTAAGAATCCTCCCGGTTTTTGAATTGGTAGAGGAGACCTCCCTATTCTCTTTGGTCAAGACAGAGGAAGGATGTAAGGTTAGAACAACTGGTGACCATGATTACAGCAGAAGAAGATGAGGTATTCCCAAAAGGGAGCCAAGATGAGAGAAAGAACAAGAGAAGGCCCCACCCCACCCCGCTCTAGTTGCCCCAGCTGCTGTGTGTTCTATAACACGGCACGTTCTCTTTCTTGCTTTCTTGCTTAGCCTGTGTGTATAACCAGTTGTGTTCATGTTGGGTTTCTGTACTTGTAACAAGAGGATCAACTAGTATAACAGTACAGACCACAATACTCGTTGCATCAAATGAACGAGAAGGAAGATGGCAGTTTCCTGTGGCACACGCAGTCAGTGTTCAACATACCACACAACAATGAAGGGCTCATACTGGTCACAGCAACAAACCTCCTCTCTCCCAGAACAGGGCCTCAACTAACAATTCTTTACTAGACTCTAGCTAATAGATCTTCAAAGGCATAACCTATAAGGGAATCATGGGGACTCTGAAAGTTCAGACTCAAGGCTGCAGATAACAATGACATATTTACAGTTGGTTGGTTTGTTGTTGTTTTTTTACCTTGAGCTGCTCAAGAAACTCACAGCAATACCACAGAATGCTCTTGATCTGTTTAATCCATAGAAGGGTGAGATCCTTAGAAAGAGCCAGGGACACATACCACACCTACAAGTGGGAAAAAGAGGTATGTCTTGGGCAGTTACAGGGATCACATTACACATGCTCTAATCATTGGAGTTGGACTTATTAGCTCGGTCCAGGGCCAGATAAGGCAGCGGGGATGAATGGGTGAATAAGCAGCATATAAGACTTATTTAACACTAAATCCAAAGACAAAATAGCCTAGTAAGGGAATTTACTATCCTGCATAAGTGGCAAGAGTAGAATATAGCTTCTTGGACCATGAAAAAATGAAGGAATCACTTGTACTTTGCTTATGTTTTCCATCCACCACTTATTTGCATATGTGTATAAATTAGTAACAACTTGTAAAGCCCAATAGGCTGGTCTTTAAGAGCTTGTGGGAGACATTGCAGCTCCTGCCCACTTACCTTAGGTTCGTTCTCAGCATCCATGCTGCTCAGGACGCTACGACACAACCTCTCAAATCTCTGCAAAGAGACAGAATAGGGGTTATAAACTCCCACAACTGATGAAAAAGTGGGAAAGAGAAGGGAACAAACATTCAGCAGGCATCTGGCATGTGCAGGTATTATGCAAGGTGATTCACACACATGATTATAGTTATTCCTTCTAACAAATGTAGAAACTGAGGATCAGAAAGGGTTCCCAAACTGGTGTCCCAAGGGCTGTATAAACCTTACAGTATGTTTTAGAAACGGGTGTATTTCACATACAAATCCAGACTGAAGCCGGGCTTGGTGGCTCAGCCTGTAATCCCAGTGCTTTGGGAGGCTGAGGTGAGTGGATTGCCTGAGCCCGCGGGTTCGAGACCCGCCTGGGCAACTTGGCGAGACATCATCTCTACAATAAATCAAAAATTCGCTGGGCGTGGTAGCGCGCGCCTGTAGTTCCAGCTACTTGGAAGGCTGAGGTGGAAGGATCGCCGGAGCCCAGCAGGTCGAGGCTGCAGTGGCCGGGAGCGGCCACTGCACTCCAGTCTGGGTGACAGATTGAAACTCCAACTCAAAAACAAAACAAAACAAAACAAATCCAGACTGAGACTTCTTTCGAAAAATAACATCAATCTGACAAACTTGAGTTTGGATTCCTGCAGAATAGTTGCTGTCTCAACTGTGCTCTGTAGTCTGCCATTTTGTAAGCACCATGGATATTGACTTTAGCCTCACAGACATCAGTCAAAGGCTGGCAGATCATCACTTTTATCCCAAAATGCCAAAGGAAGAAGGATGGAAACTGGAAAACAGACTATCATTTGGTTATACCAATCCCAGGTCTACCCTTAAAAGCATATGATGCTGGGTAGGTAGCCCTAGCACACCGAGCTGCAGTTTCCTTCTCTGGAGAATGAGGGTCACCTCCTTGGGCTTGTCTATCTTCATCCACATGGTCATGTGTTCACTGTCGGCATATTGCTTCCTCTCCTGCTAGGCTACGAGCCCCTTGGGGGTAGAGCCCCTGCCCAGGTAGAGCCTGTCTTATTTCCTCCCAGGGCCCCAGTGCCTGGGAGAGGAATGACACAATGTGAGGCTTAGCAACAGCAGATGTCTAACAGCTGGTCACATGGAGACACCCTCGATAGTATCATTAAGGTTAATGTAAACAACAAGCTTTCCAGGAATTGTATTTTCCAGGCTGCTTATTCTAATCCCAAGGGTGCAAGCTGGCACTGTGGTTTGTGGAATATTATAAGAATTTCAAATCAGTTGCTAGCTTTTACAAATTAGAACACTGAGCATAAAGACCCAGATCTCCAACACCTCTTTAAAAAAGAAAATCAGAGTATGGGTCCACCAGCAGCTAGAGCCAAGTGGCAGATGCTACCTTTGGGTAGGGCAGGCCACAGCCCTGCCGCTCCCTTTCGTGTCACCACTGCTGCCTGTCAGCTACTGTTTATTACCATGCACGTTTCATACTATGTTGTGTCTCATACATAGCTTCTTTTACTCATTTACCTAAATTTCCTGGCTCCTGGATGCATCTGAGTCCAACTGGCACTCATAATAGTCAATGTGAAAAGACTCCCAGAAGCACTGGCATAATCCCTCCAAAACAGGTCCCAAGAAAACAAAATGGACAGGATGAGGGGTGATGGTACCTACCTCACAGAGCTGCTGCAAGAACAAGGTGAGTTAACATTTATAAAACACGAAAAAAAAGAACATGGAAGTACTGTGTGTGTCTGCACTTATTACTTTACCTCGTTATCCTCTTTGATTCTAAATAAGAACAGCAGTTTCCTGGCAATCTTAAAAACACAAAGTGCGCTTCTTTTACTGGACCCAGAGTCATCTGCTGTGAAAAACTCATCGATCTCTCTCCTAGGGAGGGAAGGGTAAAATAAGACAACTTTAATTAAGAGCTTATAGCACCCAGAAGGCTTTCCAAGAACTCTAAGAGAAAATTCATATCTTTTCTATTAACTGGAAGCCAGAGAAAAACATGCTGGGGAGATCCTGGCACCCACCTGATATCTCTCTGCAGTTGCCTCCGACACAGAAAGCTCCGGACATGTGCCTGGATCTCCACAGCTGCCCGCTCCCGCTCCTTCTGCACAAGCCTTTCTTCTCGAGCCTGACGGGCGCGATCGATGAACCATGCTCTTGAGGTCTGAGATACAGTGAACATGTTTGCAAACTTGCACAGACCCTGCAGGGAAAACAAGTGAGAAATATGTATCACAATCAACCAGATGATGAGCTACTGGAGACTGTTGTGTGAAAAAACGCACAGAGAAAGGGGCTCAAGAGCAAAGGCTGGGCAGGGTCCTGGGCAGCAGTAGAGACACTTGGGACCCTCCAGCCCCCTCCATGGCTAACGGTTCTCCTGGCACAAGTCCCAGCTTCCCAGCTGCACCTGGCATACAAGTCACCAAGACCAGAGATGCCATATCCTATATTAAATAATCACAGCTTAAGAAAAAGAGCACAAGCCGGGCTCAGTGGCTCAGCCTGTAATCCCGTGCCTTTGGGAGGCTGAGGTGAGTGGATTGCCTGAGCCCGCGGGTTCGAGACCCGCCTGGGCAGCGAGACCTCATCTCTACAATAAAAATTAAAAAAAAAAAAATCAGCCGGGCATGGTAGCGCATGCCTGCAATTCTGGCTACTTGGAAGGTGAGGCGGAAGGATTGCTGGAGCCCAGCAGGTCGAGGCTGCGGTGGCCGGAAGTGGCCACTGCACTCCAGTCTGGGTGACAGAGTGAGACTCCAACTCAAAAAAAAAAAAAAAGAAAAAAGAAAAAGAGCACAGTGTCTGGCATAGGACAAGGGCAGGGTCTGCACAGGTTTAACAATGAACAAAGCAGGACTCAATCCCGCCCATAAAGCTCTAATTCAGACCAGGATCCTCTAAGTCAAAGGTTCCCAGATAACTGAATTTTCTGGAGTACTTCATGATATTTAGAAAGTCAACCTTGAGCAGTCAACTTTTATTTTTCCAAGTAAAACTTGAAGAAAAAAAAAATCAAACAGCATTGTTTACTGTCACCATTATCTTATTCATCTATTTACTCAACAGATGTTTATGGGTGTCTAATTTGTGCCCAGCACAAAAAAGAGGGCCATTTTAACAGTAACAAAGCAAAAGGAAAATGATTCAGAATGCAAGACAGCTCATTAAATCAAATATGCTTGGTCTTACAAATAACTTATTCCAAGGTCCTTGTGGTTTCCATCCTGCTAAGGACCAATGAAGTCTTTCCAACAGAATTGGTCCTGTCTACTGACAGGCGATTTCTGGACACGGGTTCTAAATTACACATTATGTTTTTATCTAAATCACCAATAACTGTCTTTGCCCAGAGGGATGGTTTTGGGTAGCAGCTAAAGCACACAGCACTGACCCATGAAGAATCTCATACTAGACACTGGATGCCTGACAACTTTCACTCTACACAAAAATGCACATCAGTCCAGCTGACAAAAATACTGAAGTGAATTATTCAGAAATTCAGACTTCCGAAAAACAATCCCTTTACCAGGTTACTTCATTAAAGGCAGCACCCACATGAAAACACCATCCAAAAAGAAAAGTTTATGCTAGGCTCCTGCCACATGAACATATCAAGGGACCTCTGTGGTCCCTTTCCAACAGTGATTCACACCTGTCAAACAACATCAGGGCTTTGTCAATATATAGGTCCATCATCAGTAATTCTTGAAATAAATTAACAGAGCCCACCTGACCATATGAGGAAGGGTAAAAAAACAGTAGTCTGGCTAGGCGTGGTGGCTCACTCCTGTAATGCCAGCACTTTGAGAGGCCAAGGTAGGAGGATGGCTTAAGGCATGGAGTTCGAAACCAGCCTAAGCAAGGCAACATAGTAAGACTCCATCTCCACAAAAAATAATAGCTGGGAGCACCAGTACATACCTGTAGTCCCAGTTACTCAGGAGGTGAGGTGGAAGGATCACTTGGGCCCAGGAGGTCAAGGCAGTGGGGAACTATGATCACACCACCACAAAAAGGGGGGAAGGGGAAAAGATTGGTTTTCTGAATCATTCACTCTTCTCACCCCAGCAATGGAAATCTGGAGAGCTCACCTGAGGACCTGCCTGTGTCACAGAAATGCCAGGTGATCACTGGTGATCTTATGCAGGACTCACAGCCAAAGATAGCATCTCATTTCAGAGTTTATTTTTCCTGACAGGAGTAGGAAAAAAGAAAATCCAGGCTTAGGGTTAAGTTTTATAGGTGTGGCAGCATATGTCTTTCTCACTGAATACAAATAATAAATACAGTGCCATGGTTTTTAAAAAACACTTGTGTCCCCTTTAGTTACCATCTTGTCTAATTGTTAGACTGTATCTCCTTAGGTGCTACAGTTTAAAGGGAATAGATTGAAAATAATCTTATAGGAGTTGCTGAATTAAGGCTGTGATAGTAAGGAAAAATAACACGTAGAGGTGATAGACTGTTAAAAAAAGTTACTGAAAATTATGCTTGACATTTTTAACGATGTGAAAAAACATTATGCCTTAACAGTGAAAAAAGGACTACCTGTGAACCAATATGAAAAAAGGACTACCTGTGAAAAGTGAAAAAAGGACTACCTGGGCGTGGAGGCTCACACTTATAATTCCAGCACTTTAAGAGGCCAAGACAGGAGGATTGCTTGAGCCCAGGAGTTTGAGACCAGTCTGGACAACACAACAAAACTTCATCGCTACAAAAAGTAAAAAAATTAGCCAGGTGTGATGGTGTGCACCTCTAGTCCCAGCTACTTGGGAGGCTAAGGCAGATCACCTGAGTCTCAAAGGTCAAGGATGCAGTGAGCCATGACTGTACCACTGCATCTAGCCTGGGCAGCAGAGTGAGACCCTGCCCTCAAATAAAACAAACAAACAAACAAACAAATAATTTTGGCCACACACAGTGGCTCACACCTGTAATTCCAGAACTTTGGGAGGCCAAGGCAGGAGGACTGCTTGAGCCCAAGAGTTTGAGACCAGCCTGGGCAATACAGTGGAGCCCCATCTCTACAAAAAATTTTTTAAAATTAATCAGGCATGGTGGCACATGCGTGTAGTCCTAGCTACTTGAGAGGCTGAGGGGAGGAGACTCTGTGCCCAGAAATTGGAGGCTGAGGCGAACTGTAATTATGCCACTGCACTCCAGCCTGGGAGACAAAGTGGGACCCTAACTAAAAACAAAGGAAAAAGAAAAATGCATGAGCACACACAGATACAGAATTGGTATGAAATATACTAACACATTAAGAGTGGCTGTTTTGAGGTAGTGGAATTGTGGGAAATGTTCCACAGAAGGCTTGTGGTGAAGCACAGAAGAGGCACATGTATGGTCTGAGGAGTCACACATAGCAGGAGTCAGTCCCTAGCTCTGCCACATACTGTGGGGAGAGTCTCAGAGTCTTTTTGTCTTCATCTGCTAATCTGCTCAGAGGCCAACCATGACTAAATGAGATAACATTCATCAAGAACCTATCGAGGTGTGCACAGTCAGTAAATCTAACGGATCGATTATTTTTATAGACCAAGGATTTTGTAAAACTCTTCAGTAGAAGCTCCTGTCTGCACAATCACTAAGGTTCTTCAGGTAGGAAATAATGCTGGCACCCTTAAGTTTTCACCCACTAAATTTTTTCCTATCCTTGAATGTACTAGGATTCACCAGTCCTGGCCCTTGGGCTATGTGGCCTTGCCCCTGCTGTTTAGACTAGGTAACAGCTTCAAGCTCCTGAGAGCTGCAAAAGAGCAGAGTCCGAGCCAGGAGCACAATGTTATGTTCCCTCCATAATAGGTAGACAGACAATCCCTCACTGGCAGGGGCTACACGAGATCATAAGGGGAAGAGGGAGCCTTCCTAGCGGAAAAACAGTTGCATGTAAACTGTGCTACATTCCTATAAGACTATCTCAAAACCATCACTTCTCCCAGGGGGCCTCCCAAGAGCCCTTCCCTGAGATTATCAACCCCTCAGTAACATTACTGATTGGTTTCTGATTATACCACTTAATAGCCTATGCTTTGCAGTCTTTTTCATCCTTTCTTATATACGTTCTCAATCTGCATAGTGTGTACTCTAGCTCATCAATCAAAACACACAGTCAAATATATATTAGTACTTATTCTGTGAAATACCATGGAGAGCCGGGCTCGGTGGCTCAGCCTGTAATCCCACGCCTTTGGGAGGCTGAGGTGAGTGGATTGCCTGAGCCTGCGGGTTCGAGACCCGCCTGGGCAGCGAGACCTCATCTCTACAATAAATCAAAAAATTCAGCCGGGCATGGTAGCGCGCGCCTGTAGTTCCAGTTACTTGGAAGGCTGAGGCAGAAGGATCGCCGGAGCCCAGCAGGTCGAGGCTGCGGTGGCCAGGAGCGGCCACTGCACTCCAATCTGGGTGACAGAGTGAGATTCTAACTCAAAAAAAAAAAGAAAAGAAAAGAAATACCATGGAGAATCAAAGAAAGGGTTGTGTGTAGCAGAAAAAGCCTTGGATCAGAGAAAGTAGCCCTTAGTGGTTGTTTTTAAGTTCTGATTCTACGTATCATTTAGCTAAGTTATTCATCCTATTGGGACTCAGTTTCCTTATCTGTAAATTGAGGATAATACTACCTACATTCTAGGGTTGCTAAAAGGATTAAACGAAACATTTGCCCTTCTGAACTCCAATATAGTCATCACACACAACATTGTGATTATGATTAAATGGGAAAATATTAATAAGGACATCTGAAAGCATATAGCATGTAAGTGAGCTTTATCATACTGTACTAAAGAAACTTACAATATACTTAGAGGAACAAGAATTATATAGGTGAAAGGTTAGGAAACCAGAGACTGGTGACAACTGAGATCATTTAAAAAAGAAAATAAAATGAGAACCCACTATGTGTCAAGTCCTTTCTATGTGATCTCATCTAAAAAGGACTGCAACCCTATGAGATCATTTATTATCTCCTCTAGTTCAGTTTAGACCATTAGTAAGTGGCAGAGCCAAGATTTTAATAATGACAGGATTCAGACTCCTGTCTACCTCTATATTCCCATGAGACCTGTTCAAAAATCAGTCTTTTCTGGATGAGGTCAACTTCATGGAGAATAACAAAAGCGCATGACGGTCCAGAGAATACTGTCCTAAGGTGAAGCACCATAAATACCAACAGCTGATTGAGCCTAAGAGGATTCTCCCTCTACAGTGGGAAGAGCTGGGCCGTCAGGCTAAATGACTATCACCATTTGTTAAGGGCAAATCATGTATCAGACACCTGTACATGTACTTAACCAACCCTGTCTTTTTGTCTCAATAGTTTTATTTTTATTTAAAGAACAGGCAACAGGACTTCAAGAGACTATCAATAAGAACAGCTATCATTTATTTAAAACTGCAGCCTATCTAGGTGGGTTTTATGACCAAGTCCACCTTCATACAGAGAAAATGAAATGTAGAGAGGACGTGACTTGCCGGAGGTCGCTGAGCTCCAAAGCTCCACGGTTATCTCCAAAGCAATTATTTACCGTTAAGGAAAACAGAAAAGACCCAGAGCTCCCTCACTGACAGAAAGAACCCGGGAATGCAAGACTACTCATGGGGCTAAGCTGGAGTTAAATTACGACCAAGTTTTTCTTTATCCAGAGCTGACTATCAGGCATGGCACTAAAACAGTAACATACAACACTTTCTGTGAAACTAATGATTCTATTTTACAGAAGAGGAAACAGACTCAGAGAGGTGAGGGAACTCACCCGAGGTCACACAGCGAGCGAACAGGATTCGAACTCCCGTTTGGGTGACTCCTGGGGCCCAGCGTCTTTCCTTGACATCAACAACCATAATAACAAATCCCTTCTGCCCAGCATTAGTCCGTTTGTAAAGGCCTATAGCCCCAAAGTTAAAACATATGGACAGGGCCGCAGAGTCCCCCCCCCCCCCCACAGGTCCCCAAAGCCAGGCCCAGCACCAGTCTCTCCGACTGGGCCAGGCCGCCTCCCTCCAAGTCCCGGTCCCCACCCAGAGAACCACCAGCCCTGTTCCCACTAGCTACCCGCAGGCCGTAGACCTTTATCCGCTCGAGGCCCCAGCACTCAGGGTCGAAGTCGCAGCTGCAGCCTCCTCAGCCCCAAATCCCCGAGTTCTGCCAGACCCGGGGCAGCGGCCGAAGCAAGACCGCCATCTTGCCCCGGGGTATTCTTTCTCAGAACTCCGCCGGGAAGCAAGCATGCAGTCCCTGAAAAAGTCAGTTCCGCAAAGCTTACTCGCCCGGGAAGGAAAACTTCTCCACACCTTGTTCTCCCCTCTGGCAGATAAAAAAGGGTATCTGGATAAGTGTCTGAGCCAGCCAAGAGAAGCTGGAACCCATTCCGGCCAAGCAAGTTGGGAGGAAGGCAGCCGACGTCGAGAGGCACGGCGGATGCTTTAGAAAGTTGCCCTCTGCGGGGCGGAAGTGGGGTGCGGACAGCGGAAGTTTCTGCCCGGGCCCCGCCTCTGCCCCCGGCTCGTGTGAGCTGGGTGTTTCCTGCTTCTTACAGTCCAGGTTTGGAGACTCCGTCGTCCTTCGGCTTTTCATGGTAAGGAGGGCGGTGCCCAACTGCTGGGGGCTCTGGACAGCCGAGGGAGCCAGGCAGCGGAGAGATAAGGGGAAGGGACCGAGAGGAGAGGGTGCGACGAGGGGCAGTTGCGATGGTGGAGAGGCGGTGGGGGAATTGACTGGGGGCAAGCCGGGGGTGGGGGAAGGGCTTTGAATGGAGAATGGGGGGGGGCTCCCTGGCAGCTAGGAAACCGGGCAATGTCTTTGGGGGTTAGGGAGTGGATATTTGGGGTGCGTGGGGCGGGGGAGGGTCCTCTGAGTCTTGAGCGCTTGTGGCAGATCGGGAGTTGGTGATTATGAGAACAAAAGATGTCATTGAAAAGGGACATTTGGGGTGAAAAGGAGGATTTGGAGGATTGTGAAGGAGAGGCTGTAGATTCAGCAAGGGTGAAGTGGGATTCCTTGGGGCGGAGCGTTTGGAGTTTTGGTGGTTGTGGCTGGAGTCGCTGGAAATGTGGCAGCTGCTTTCCGGCGCGTTTGAATACACGGGCGAGTGGGGGAAGGAAACCGGGAGCCAGCAGACAGATGTGCGCTCAGGGCCTGGGATTCCGGGGAGGCGTGCCAGGGCCTGAGGTCAGGGCGCCTTCACCGCGGAGCCTCAACTGGCGCCTGGGTACCTATCTGGTCACTTCCTTTGAGGCCCGAGGTGGCTGTGCCTGAGGTCACAGGGCGTCTTAACATGCTGCCTCAGCTCTAGGGAGGTTTGTGTGCTTGGGATTCTCAAGGATCTGTTCCTTGAATAGCTTTTTGATCCTGGGTGGGATTGACCAAAGATCCTCCCAGACTTTCTTTCTATTGCTTGTTTGTCACTTCCCTGGAAAGTGCAGTCTTTAGGGAAGATCAGTCCGGTAACACCACTGAAGAAAATGAGTCAGCCTGTATCTGACGTTGACTGGTCTGTTCCGTGTTGTGCAAAATAAGGGAACAAAGGCCCCATAAATCAGCTGTTCCCAGACTGGTCTCACACTAGCATCAGTGTCACTTGGGAGCTTGTTTAGACTGGCCAGATTTAAGCCTTACCACAGACTACTGGATTGGACAGTCTGGGATTGGAACCCATTCATCTGTTTTTTTGTTTTTGTTTTTGTTTTTTGAGTTGGTGTCTCACTCTGTCTCCTAGGCTGGAGTGCAGTGGCACGATTCCGGGCACCGTGGCCTCGACCTGCTGGGCTCAGGCGATCCTTCCACTTCAACCTTCCAAGTAGCTGGAACTACAGACACACGCTACCATGCCCAGCTAATTTTAGTGATTTATAGTAGAGACAAGGTCTCACCAAATTGCCCAGGCTGGTCTTGAATCCCCAGGGCTCAGGCAGTCCTCTTGCCTCGGTCTCCCAAAGTGCTGGGATTACAGGCTGAGCCACCACGCCCGGCCCCTATTCATCTGTTTTAACAATCCTTGCAGAGGATTAGAGTAGTGATTTCATGATTTGGGCTGTGTAAAGAGAGACATGAGAGGGGGAGTCAGAGAGCCCTTGTCGTTCTGATTCTTAGTTTTTTCCCCTGAAAAGTGGGATTGGTGATAAACATATTTTTCACTAGACCACCGAGAGAAATAGGCCAAGAATTTGTGTGCTAAACACAGGAAGAGAATGTTGGAACATTTGGAATTAGCAGGAGCTGTTTTGGATATGAAATAATGCCACAGTTATGTGGCTGATGGGATTTAGTTTGGTTGGAATGGAACAGTAGACTACTGAGTTATAGAAATTTCTCCCCCTACCCCTTAGTTTGAGGAAGTTTAAGAACTACTAGCCTCTATAGTTTTTCTTAAACTTCTCTGTAGGAATCCCTGGAGCTGATATTTTTGTCATGCATCCCTGGCAATTCTTAGGTCAAGCTTAAGCGCCTGACCTCAGTGGCAGTGAGCCTTGGTCCCATATCGGAGTCACCTCTAGTTTTTTAAACACTAGTGACTGATCTGCCACCCACTTCCTCTCTAAGATTCTGGTTAATTGGTCAGGGGTGTGGCCTAGGCAGGCACTGGTGTTTTTTTAAGCACATCCAGGTGATTCTAGTTGTCAGGAGTCACTTTTCTTAAAGCTTGAGGTACAGAAGGGAAACTACACACAGGACTAGGTGCCAAATACTTTAACATTCATTCCCTGTAGGTTATTTTAAAGATTATGGCTTTAGCACCCCGTTTTACAAGTTAGGAAACTGAGACTTGGGTTAAATTGCTTGAATATCCTTCAGGAAGTAGAGGAACTGGATTGCAGGCTAGGATCACCAGATTCTTAATCAGGGCACACATGAGACAGTTCTACAAATAAGTGTATAGAAAACAGGGTTAGGGGTTTGGTGCCTATTTCTGTCTTCTTGCCTAGATCTTCTTTCAAGTCATCTATTTTCCCCCTTCAGCTGATTTGTTTTTTCAAGCATGCACACATGACTGTGGCTGTGAAGCTATGGAGTAGGGACTTGCTTTTGTTGATGGTTCTTTGGTTTATTTTTATGTGTAGGTCAGGAATACACGGGGCCAAGACCATGGACTTAACTGTAGCCTAATTAAGGGGTACAGTACTTTTCAGAACAGTGGGTTGTAATTTTGGAGAGCATTAGAATCACCTGGGAGAATTTTTATAATGCTATCACACCCCTAGACCAATTACATCAGAATTTCCACAGATAGGACCCAGGCAGCAGTGTTTAAGTTCCCCAGGTGATTCCAGTGTTCCACCCATCAGAGAGCCACCATTTAGAATCAGCACCAGTATATTCAGGGAAAATGGGAAGAAGAGAAGCCTACTCACCCATCTAGCCAAAATAAACTTCTGATTGAATAACATCCATAACCAATATCTCAAGTATTATCTCTTGTTTCTTGTAGCCGGTTTTGCTCTCTCCTGCCCCACCTCACCAAGCCTTTAGACAAGTAGAAAAGCAGGATCCCAGAAGGGATGGGAGAGAGTCCTCTGTGGAAAGGTTTGCTGTGAGAGGTTTATCATCCACCACTTTGTGTCTTTGGTTCACTGTAACTTGGGCTCAGGGTCATGAATGCAGCCAAAACTTTTTCTCCCAGGGCCTCTCCTGGTACTAGGTTGACTGACCTTTGGAGGGGGTGGGCTCTGGAAAGGTTTAGAGCTTTTGTTGCCTAATCTGGAGTCTCATGCTAGATCAGGATTGTTTCTGCCTTTATCTCTTAGTAATTCAGTCTGTCATTAGAGCTGGAAACAGTTGCCAAAGTGGAGAAGATAATTTGAGACTTGAACACATTCTCAAGTCATCATAATTTGAGTGTTTCTTGTCTGAGTGTTTACCCTGAACCAGGGACTGCTTGGTGCTTTCTCTTGAATCCCTCTCGACAGCCCTGGGAGGAGGTAGGGCTGCTGTCTCTGTTTAGAGATGGACTGGACTATGACAGATGTCTCACCCAAACTCCTACAACTATTAAGTGGCAGGGCCAGGGGCTTGAACACAGGTCTGACTACCAAACCCTTAAGCACACCTTACCTCCCATCTTTTTTCAGGGCTTTTTGTACTTTTTAAAGAAGTGAGGTGGGGTTCTCCTTTCTCAACTTACATGTCATAGCTCTAAACATACCGAGTGTGATGGGCTCCAGGCCAACAGGGACATATCACATCCTTCACTTGCTCTGTCACTGACTCAGCTGCTGGCTGAGATTGACTGACCTTCTCTGGGTATGGTATCCAAATCCACACAATGGAAATAAAATCGCTGCCTCCCAGCATTGTTTGGATTTTTAAAAGTTGCATGAAGTGGTAGAAATTGAGTGGCCAATGGGTACAGAGGGAGCCCTGGCAGTTTCTCTTGATTGTATTGGAGTGGTGGCTACACAGGTGCTTATATTGATCAAAACTCATCAAACTGTACACTTAAAATACACTTTTTTGTGGGGGGGGGAGTCAGGGTCTCACCCCATTGCCAAGGCTGGAGTGCAGTGGTATGATCATGAGTGCAGTGGTATGATCATGGCTCACCACTGCCTTGACCTGGGACTACAACTGTGCACCACCCACCCAGTTAAATTTTTTATTTTTTTATTTTGTAGAGACGAGATCTCTCTATGTTGCCTAGGCTGGTCTCAAACTCCTGGGCTCAAGCAATCCTCCTGCCTTGGCCTCCCCAATTGCTGGAATTACAGGTGTGAGCCCCATGCCTGACTAAAATACACTTTATTCGATGCAAATTACCTTTTAAAAAATATTGAGAAGCCAAAAAAAAAAGTACAGTCATGTGCTACACAAAGACATTTCTGGCAGTGTTGAACTGACTGCATATAGAACAGTTCTATAAGATTATAATGGAGCTGAAAATTTCCTGTCACCTGGTAAAGTAGCTATTGTTTTAGTTGTAGCACATTACTCACGATGTTTTTGTGATGTTGCTGGTGTAAACAAACTTACTGAGCTGCCAGTTCTGTAAAAGTATAACACACAATTATGTACAGTATACAATATTTAGTAATAAAGGACTAGTATCCAACATACAAATGAGTTCTGTTCTGAGAGTGCCTTTGCAGGTCCAATTAGTTTTAAGTCCAACACAGTTAGCCTAGGTATGCAACTGACACAGCCAGCTATATAGTACTGTATGTATTTAACAGACTGTACTGACACCTAGTGAAGAGAAGTAATACGTTAAAAAAATGCAGGTGCGCATTGTTAAAGTTTGTAACTTGAAGGTTCATATGTAGGGGACTTATTGTATATTACTGGTTTATGTATTTTCTGTACTTTTAATTGCTATTTGAGTGTGTACTCTTTCTACTTATTAAAAAAAAAAAGTTAGCCTAGGCATCATAGCAAGACCTCATCTCTACCAAAAAAAAAAATCATAAAATTAGCCAGACATGGTGGCACACCTATAGTCCCAATTCTCAGGAGGCTAAGGTGGGAGAATCACTTGAACCCAGGAAGTTGATGCTGCAGTGAACTGTGATCATGCCACTGCACGCCAGCCTAGGAGACAAAGAGTGACCCCCAACTCAAAAAAAAAGGAAAAAGAAAATATTTTTGCACAGCTATACAAAGTCTGTGTTATATAAACTGTGTTATTACAAAAGAATAGAAAAATTAAAAGTTTATAAAGTAAAAAGTTCCAGTAATCTAAGGTTAATTTATCACTGAAGAAAAAAATCTTTTATAAATTTAGCATAGCCTCAGTGTCCAGTGTTTGTAAAGTCTGCAGTAGTGTACAGTAGTGTCCTAGGCCTTCACATTCACCCCCACTCACCCAGTGCAGCTTCCAGGCTGCAAGCTCCATTCTTGGTAAGTGCCCTAGCAAATGTATCTCTATTGGTTTTTTGGGGTCTTTTATACTGTACTGAAGGAGGCAAGGACATAAGTTGACAAGGTCTTTATGTCTTAAAACACGCAAACTTGACATGGTCAAGTCTTGGTCTTTGTGTTTTTGGCTTGGCTTTAATAAGAACTTGATCAATTTTTTTTTTTTTTGGATGTTTGTACTTGAGAGTGTTGACTTATTAGCAATTAGTTAGTGTGACCTCTAGTCTGTGTAGTCTGGATGTGGCCTGTCTTGATCATAACTTTATTTATTAGAGTTTTTAGAAAACACAAATGTTAGTAGTTTTATTTTAAATCATTAATAACATGGATGTTAGTGTTATGGTAATCTTGCCAAAAAGTCACAAACATTAACCTTTTTTTTGCTGTTGGTAGCATTAAATATTTCCTGTTTATGTAGTTTGGCCCTATATAAGGGGCATACTGTGAGAATAAAATTGCTCTCACCTATTGAGGCGAGAGACCTCTCAATTCGCTGTTCTTTGCCTTTCTTTCTCATTCCCTCCCCCCACCTCGGGCCCTGCTCTCCAGAGGCTGGAACTCCCCACTGTACTTTTACTGTGCCTTTTCTATGTTTAGATACACAAATGACACATGACTGTATATTAAATATACTTTAGTACTTTCGTTTGTTTCGTGGTAGGTGCCTTAGAAGATGCTAGACCATTTCCCATAAACATATTGTATAAATTTAGATCTGAAAAGGTTGCTTCAAAAAGTATTTCTAGGCCAGGCTCCTTGGCTCAGCCTGTAATCTCAGCACGTTGGGAGGCTGAGGTGAGTGGATTGCCTGAGCCCGCGGGTTCAAGACCTGCCTGGGCAACTTGACGAGACCTCATCTCTACAATAAATCAAAAATTCACCGGGCGTGGTAGCACGCACCTGTAGTTCCAGCTACTTGGAAGGCTGAGGCGGAAGGGATCGCCAGAGCCCAGCAGGTCGAGGTTGCAGCAGGCTGGGAGCGGCCATTGCACTCCAGTGTGGGTGACAGAGTGAGACTCCAACTCAAAAAAAAAAAAGGTATTTCTATTTTGGGGCAAATTTCCTTAACAATCCCCTCTCATTCCCCTCCACCAAAAAACCACACATGACTATGAACCTTTTTTTCTTCTTCTCGGTCTTAAGAGTTTTTGGAAACTCTCTTTTCCTACAAGCTGCTTCTTTCATCTCATGGACAAAGGCTTTTTCTGGGGAAATGGCTGACTGTAACTGTTAGTGTGGGGTCTCGGGGGACAGATTTCAAAGGAAAGCTAGAAGGGAGGGGTCCCACTTGCTCTTGGCTTCTTCTTTTGTATTTGGCATCAGGCCATGATACCCAAGGTGAGCTAAGCCTGGGCTTTTAAAAACTCACATGAACAGTTTCTTGAGAAAACATTTCTTTCCAGGAGGCCATTCTTTCTCCATTTTATTCTGCAGGGCCCTGACACAGATTTCCAGGCCACTCTGGTGGGGGACGGGTAGATGGAGGTGCTGAGGGTTACCCAGAAAAGTGAATAATTGAATTGAATGTGGCTTGTGACAGTTGCCAAGTTGTTGCCTGTGCTGTTGCAGGTTGCCACCCTTCAGTCCCCCTGCCATTTAAAAAATAATATTTGTGTTTTACCAATTGTAATATGTGTTCATTGTGGGAAATCTGGATAAGCTGGGAAGGCATAAAGAATTTAGCAATAATCCAAATTCAGTTTCAAGGAATAGTTCAAAAAAGTTATGTGCTGTCAGTGCCTTCCAGCCATAAACTCCAAGGAACATCCCTGTAGTTGAGCAGAGTTGGGTTTATGTCCTTGCAGAATTGGGGGAGAACTGTGGGCCATCTCCAAAGAGGTGAGCTTGTGTTGGGGAGCAATAGGTCGCAGTTGTAACTCATATTAGCCAGGATGGGGGAGATGTTTGGTCATGCTTGTGTTTTGGATAGTGTCCTTGTTTTTGTCTGTTTTCAGACATGATTATGGAGTGCCCTTCTTTTTATCTTGTTGCAAAACGGCCTCAGAGTGGCCTTGTCTGAGGGTGATATTCTGTGAAATTATTCATTCTCAACGGGAACTGAGGCCAGCTTTGAGGGCCAGGCTGGTTCCTGGCTGTCAGGGCTATTTTTCTCTCAGGGCCACACCCCACCTTCAGTAAAGATCCTGCCCACTCTTGGGTGTGTTCTATAATTTTACCTATTCTTAAAGGTATGCTTGCTAAAGTAGTTGCTAGATGCCAGTCTCCTTCCCGAGGTGTGCTTAACTCAGACACTACATCCATTTCTTTGGCTGAGATGTGTGAGAGCTGGCTGTGCTGTCGGGAAGACTGTCATGGGATCTTGCTATTTTGGATGGCACTAGCATAGGAAGTCTCTACATTTGCAATAACAAGCTTTCAAGAGTTTCTATGTCTATTGTTTATCCTCAGCAACATTTTCTCCCTATAGGAAGTATTAGGAGTGTGAGTTAGGATGCCACTAAACTTTGTAAAAGCTTATTTCATCTCTGATTCAGCTGAAAGATGACACTTTTAGCTAGTCAGTGGTTTATGGCAGTAAGGAAACAGAGAGAGACCTGGGCAGTGCTTTTGGCTGTTTTAGGATGCAACCAGGGTGTTCATTTATATAGGTATTGGACAGAAAGGAAGTCCTTGTAATACGAGTTGGTGGCAGGTTCCTGCCTCCAGGGTCAGCAGGTGAGGTCAGTGTATAAGGTCATCTGGGTGGGGTTTGGGACAAACTAGGGGATGCATGCCCCTCTTCTGGGGATAGTCTGCACATAGCTCCCACTAGTTGTTGCCTGCTGGCTCCGTTGGCCTCTGATTTTCCAGAGAAACCAGAAATCCAGATTTTTCTGTGAGTTCTCTTGAGTTGTCAGCATTGGAAGCAAGCTTGAAGTTTTAAATGCAGTGTATGCATGGACCAAGCAAAGCAGGAGGTTGAAAGCAGAAGACCGGGCCTGGTGTCATGACCTGTGTCTTCTCCACTGACAGGAAGAGATGTCAGGAGAAAGCGTGGTGAGCTCAGCGGTGCCAGCAGCTGCTACTCGCACCACTTCCTTCAAGGGTGCGAGTCCCAGCTCCAAATATGTGAAGCTGAACGTGGGTGGAGCCCTCTACTACACCACCATGCAGACGCTGACCAAGCAGGACACCATGCTGAAGGCCATGTTCAGCGGGCGCATGGAAGTGCTCACCGACAGTGAAGGTAAGTCCACCTGCCTCTGTTGTACCTTCAACGCTGTGCCAGACACTGGGGGCATGCTTGGGGTTGAGGGCTTCTGTCTAGTCCAGAAGGTCAGCATTAAATGGACAGCTCCACACACAGATAAGGACTTTAGCTGTGTTCAGTGTTACCACGATGTGCTATGAGCCTGGAGAGGGAGCAGCAGGGAGACCAGATCTTGTCTGGGGACTGAGGTCCAGGAGGGCTTCCCTGAGGAAGTGATGTTTAAGCTGAGAGCTGAAGATGAGTAGGCGGCAGCTGGACAGGGACTCCAACTATCTTGGCTTAGTTGCTGATTTGCTGAGTGACTTTGAGAAAGTCACTTCCCCACTCCAGGCCTCAACTTACTTATCTGTAAAGTGGAGGCCGGACAAGCTGCCCTAATGGGTCCCTTCCAGTTCTCCCTACAATGGCTCCATGATTTCAGAGTGAAACTCAAGCCTGAGAGAGGCATAAGTATCTTCTCTGGACCCTTGTCCTCCTAGGATGGGGTTTTGACAGAGACTCTCAGACCAGGGTTTGCGTCCCAGCTCCATATGTAGTACCTGGTGATCCTAACCAAGTGCCGTAACCTGTAGATGTCTCATTCTCTTCATCTGGTGAAATGGGCTGTTGACTCATAGTGAGTATTAACATGTATTGAGTGCATGTGGATTTTTGTGTGTGTGGAAGGGTTATGCTAGTAAAAGGCAAAGAATGGTTTAAAGTGGTCTTACCATAACTACTTCCTTCTCACCTGGAACAATCAAAGGAGCACCTGGCAAAGGGGTATACATCCTTACCTGGATGGGCTTATGGACAGGTCATATGAGGTCTAAAAATGTTCCTGTCCTTTGTTCCTTGGCCTGAGATTGCTTGAGACCAGATTAGAGCACAGCCTGGTGTCGCCCTCCCTGCTTCATTTCTGGGGCTGTCCTGTGCTGATGCCCCCTCCTTCCAGTTGACTTGGGAGAGTGGGTGGGTGTTGAGACAGGCAGGTGGAACTGGGGACCTCATCTGGTGTGCCACAGTTCATTCTCTGATCCTAAGAGGGCCAGAGCTTGGGCTGCTCGCTGGTGGGTGTGTCCTGGGGAAGGCCAAACCCTGGGAGCTGGAGATTCCACCTACCTGGCCTTCTGTGAATTCCTGTGGTCAAGTAGCAGCGAGGGTTGGAGTACCAGAGCTGCTTCTGTGTCTCACCCAGAAAACACCGCTTTTTATGAATGGGAGGGTCCCCTTTACTGTACCACACCCACCCTGCCCAGGCCTGTTTGTGGAAATCAAGACAATAGCACCCCAGCTGCATAAGGAAACAGGCATTGTCTGAGAACCTAAGGTCGTTGTAGTTTCTTTTCTGCCCTACCCAGTCTCTCAGGGGCTTGAGAGAGGCAGCCAAGTCAATTTGAAAGTAAAGTAGAAGCCTCTTCTAGAAAGCCCTAATGCTATATTGAATGCGAGACAGTCCTTAAGCCCTTCTTCCCCAGCTGCACAGAGCATGCAAGTGGTGGTACCTGCAGGACTGCTCATTTTCTAACGTTCGCTAAGAGATTTCTTTTGCCTGGTGCGTCCTTCCTGGAAAACCCAGCCCTCTGGGGATGTAATGTCATCTCAGTGCTCCAAACCTCAGCTTATTCTACATCCCTAGAGCTCCGGGCCCTTCATATCACTATGAAAATCTCACATTGTGGCATTTTATGGGACTTATTTAATCACATCCTCACCTTTCAAGGGGAATGCTATCGTTATCATTCCAAGCAGTAATCCCCATCTTGGAGGTGAAATGCTTTTCTAAAAGTGACAAGGCTAGAAAGGGGTAAGCTGCTGACCCCAGGACTTGCTGGTGCTTACCCTCTGCTGTCCATGGTTTGATATGAGCCCAGCTCCCAGGCCAGCTCGCTTGAGTGTGGTCTTGTGATTTAACTGTTGACTTGACCAAAGCCCTTTGGGGCCTTGTGAAGGCCTGGGCTGGCAGGCTATGTATCTGGTCTTGCAGCCATCGTCTGTGCCAGGAAGAGCAATCTTTTTGGCTCTTGGAGAAAACACTACACAGCCTGACCCATTTTCCCTGGGGCCTTCGGGCTGGAAGCCTGTCAGCTACATTGAAGTTTGCTAAACAAATGGTCAGAAATGCCAACTAGACAAGTGAAACAGCAGTAGAACTAGTGGTTAAGAGACAGGGGCTTTGACAGTACTGAACAGTGGATTCATCCTGTTGCTAGAAATCTCTGAAGGACGCACCCAAGAAAGTGATTGTTTAGGAGAGGGGACCGGCTCCAGGGTGGGTGGAATAGTCTCCCTTTCACTCCAGGCTCCTGCTTGAGTTTTGTACCATGTGCATGTGATTCCTCCACAGAGAAGAACTTGGGTGTTGGAGTTAGCAGGCAGTGGTCACAGCCGACATCTGGGGAGCTGTTTCTGTGTGTCAGGCATTTTGTACTTTTTGCTCATTTGCCCTTTACTGGCCATGTGACGTTGGGCAAGTGACTTTTTCTCTGAGCCTCTCTCCGCCCTTCCCATTTGGGCATGATAATGCTTTGTGGAGTTGTTACGGGGATTGAATGAGGGCCCTATGCTACAGTTCTTGATATGTGGGGGAACTCAAGAAATGGGAACTGCTGTGATGGCTTTAGTCCTCCGGGGTGGGGGGGTATAGAGATGGAGGGAGCGCTGCTGAGGGGGCCACACAGGAGCAGGTCATGGCAGCACGTCGGGGAGAGGCCACCCGCTTGATCTTCAAGGAGTGTGCTGCAGTTCCACATTACCCCCTACGGGGGTGTGGCCTTTCTGAAAAGACAGGACACTGTGACAGTGAGCAGATCTTTCCCAGACTCTGCCCCAGAATTGTGTAAAATTCTCAAGTACCTTGAGAACTTTTAAATTGTGGAATGATAGGTTCCCCTATGCTGCCACTCAGACCAGGCTGAAAGCATGACCTGTGCCTGTGGGGCCTCTCTGCAACTGTCCCTGTATGCCTCTCTGCTGCCAGAGGTATCCACTGGTCTGCCTTCTGGGTCACTAGGTCATAAGGTCTCAGCCTTGGCTACAGTGTGAGTCACCCACTGTTCAATACTGGTGCCTGGATGCCAGCTCAGAGAGCCGGGTGTGATTGGCAGGTGTGGCTGGGGCCATAAGACTTTGAAGGGCTCTGCAGGTGATTCCAGTGGGCAGCCAGGGCTGGGAACCACAGGTGTGGATCTTTCTAGGTATTGCTCTCTCCACAGCTGTTATGTCCCTGGCCATGTACCATTGTGTACTTTTAAACATTATGTAAATGTGCTGTATTGACTGCATCTGTTCTGCTTTTGCTCACTTGGCAGTATGCTTGTGAGATCAGGCCATGAATAAATAGCTCAAGTTCAAACATTTCTCCACATGGAGCAATGCAGTAGCTAGAACATGCAGTAGCTAGAACATGCAGTAGCTGATGGAGCCATGCTCTGCTGATGGGTGTGTAGGTGGCTTCCAGTGTTCACCGTCAGGAACAGTCACATCTGGAGCACTGCTGTGCACATGTGGGTTCCTCTGGGGAGTGGGTTCCTCTGGGGAATTGCTTGCCAGCCTTTGCCACATCATGGTGCCCATGGACAGTCATGTTTTCACTTTGGTAAATGATGAGGTGCAGACTCCCTGGCCCCGCCCAGCCAGCCTGAGGGCAGTGGCATTAACATCTTACCTACTGTTGGGAGCTCTCCCAAGTTTATTCCCAGGAGGGGAACTGGGGCTAGCACCTCAGCTTGGTTTGGTTTGGTTAGGTATTGCACGAGTCCTCTCTCTAGTGGTTGTGTCAGCTTGTACTCCCTGCAGAAATCTGGAGTCTTGCCAACACTTGGGCTGGTCCAGCCTTTTAATTATTGCTGATCTGGTACTTATGATATGACACTCTGTTGTTTTATTCAACATTTCCTAATTTCTAGTGCATGGAACATCTTTTTATATTTATTGGTCATTTGGGTTTCGTCTTTTAACTGCCTGATGGCATTTTATTTACACATTTTCCTTTTACTTATTACTTTGTGGAAGTACATATTCTGAGTCTTTTTTTTTTTTTTTTAAGATATAGGGTCTCATTCTGTTGCCTTTGCTGGAGTGCAGTGGCCTGATCATAGCTCACAGCAGCCTTGAACTCCTGGGCTCAAGTAATCCTCCTGCCTCAGCCTCCCAGCCTCAGTTGGGACTACAGGCGTGAGCCACCACACCTAGCTTGTCTTAGCTTTTTAAATAACATCTTTTGATACCTGAAAGTTCTTACACTGCTTTTTACATGTAGATGTTTGAACAGCCTCAGTAGTGCTCAACCATGGGTGATTTTTTTTTTGACCCCCAGGGGACAATTGGCAATGTCCAGAGACATTTTTGGTTGTCACATTTTGGGGATGAGAGTGCTGCTGGCATCAAGTGGGCAAAGCCCAGGAATGCTGCTAAACACCCTACAATGTAGAGAGTAGTCCCCCCATAAGAAAGAATTATCCAGTCCAAAATGCCAGCAGTGCCGAGGTGGGTCTCTACCCTGCGGATTCTGTTTCAGGAATGAGGCGGTTTCTAGAATTTGGATTTGTAACAAGTACCTCAGGTGACTTTTGTGATCAGGCAAGTTTGGGAATCACAAGAATACAGAGGATAAATACCTGAGTACGGCAAGGATAGTCAGTGAAGTCTCCCTGGAGGAGGTGGGGGTGGGAGGAGAGGTCAGACATGCTAGAGGGAAGAGGTGTGTCTGGTGGTCCAGTCCCTTGACTCCCAGAGCAGCCTTCTCCCTTGGTACTCTGCAACCAATACAGACTCCCAGGGGCCAGAACTTGCCACTTCTGGACTCTGCTGCTCTGTTCTCCAGCAGTCACGATGATACGTGTGAAGGGCTCATGGCCAGAGACCCAGGGCTCATTTTGAGTGCTGTCAGCAGCTCCAACATTGTGCTGTGCGCCTTCTGTCCACTCTCTCATCCTACTTTTATGCCAGCCTTGTGAGAGAGCATTTTTAGAAGAGGAAACTGCACTTGTGGAGAGGTTAAATGAAGCACCAACATTCTCCAGCAGGAAGGTGGCAGAGCTGGGTTCCTGGCTTGCCAGACCACTGTGCTGTGCTCAGAGCCATTCTGGAGCCCCCCTGGCGCCTCCTAGTCTGGCCCCTGCCTGTTCTGCCTTTCCTGCTTTGTCCAATGTGTGGTGGGGTCCAGGCTGTCCTGAGCCTTCCTAGGCAACCCCCAGGCAATGGCAGCAGCAAACAAGGAGCAGCTTGACTTGCATTTCAGCTGACTTTCCAAGAGATAACTTCCTGCCTTGGAAGCAGCCAGAATACTGTAAAGTTAAAATGCTAATTGAAACCTCATGGAGAGTGTGCCTGGCTCCTTTGCCCTTATTTGTCCAAACTATGATTCCTTCACCGCAAGCATTTCCTGACAGCATTCTTGAGCTGGAGCTCAGTGTCACGGTTCGCCTACTCGGTTGTGGAGGTTGTAGAGACTCTGGGCCATCCGCTGGATAGTTGATTTCAGGCCCTCACTCTTTCTGAGCAGCTGAGCTGGCCGTGCCTTGTAGGCAGAGCATGGATGCCTTCTACCCTGAGCGACTAAGTTGAATTGCCCTTTCTCTTAAAGCTCGAGGTACTACTTGTCTTCAATTCTGGTGAAAAGAGTTTTCCAATGAATTCCTTTTTCTTGGTGGCCTGGTCCTGCCTCCTCTGCTTGAGAATGTCGCCGAGCCTGTCTGTGGAAAATGTGAGGGAATGAGCCTCCCTCGAGAGAACTGTCGGGAAGATAACACAGTCTTTCCACACATTGGCCGCCTTTTGGAAGAAAGGTACTTGGTGTAGGGTAACAGAGACTGCAGGCTGGCGGCCTGCAGGCCCAGTTCCCTGCAGACATGTTTTGTTTGCCCTATTGTGGATTGGTGACAGTTTTGATTTTTTTAAAAAATTAGTTCTCCTTCCTTTAAAAAATTAGGAGATTCACAGAAAAATCTGGATTTCTGGTATCACTTGGGACAGCAAAACTCACACCACTCTGGGCCCTCATTCCTTCCTGGCCACTGCTGGCTGGAGCCAGAAGAACCCATCCTTCTTGGGGCAGGACAAATGCCCTCCTGTCAGCTGCCTCAGCCCTGGCCCACCTGCAGGCGTGGATGCTGCTCGCTGGCCCTGTGGGCATCTGAGTTGCATAAGCTCTTAAATCCAGATTCTGTTGTCTCCGCTGTGGGGAGAAGTGGGGTGGGACAGCATCTGGAGGCCACTGTCAGGGTGATGAGAGTCACCACACCTGGGAAGGCCTGTTTCTTCCTCAGAATCGGGGTCAGGCTCCAGGCTGCATGTTTGCATTCTGTTTGTCCCTGGTGGGAGTTTATTCTTCCCACTAAACTCAGGAAATCCTAACAATGTGGAAATAGGGAGTGGAAGTCTTTAACAAGGCCCAGGAACTTGAGGCTGAGTAGTTTCAGGAGGAGAAGGTGGAAATAGCCTTGTTATCAAACGTTCCCAGTGATTGTTGCAAAGATCTAAATAGTACACTAAAGTCATGAGAGGGCACTTGGCAGGGGCTGCATCTGGGGGCAAGGGGTAGGGGGAGGTATGCAGACTTGTGCTTCTGGCGTATGAAAAGATGCACTTGCTGCCTTTTGACTTTTGTTGGCCTCTGCCAATGCTCAGAGGCTGAGGTGGACTTAAAGCAGGGTACAGTGGTGCTAGGAGTAAACATGTCTGCCTATCTCTGAAACTGGAAACAAAGGGGGAAGGAAAGTGGGGCCATAAAATGACTGAGTCCTGTTGAAACCTGCTAACTGCCAGGCAGTGCACCAGTTTTTTCTCACCTGCCATATGAGGGAGGAGGCTTGGTGATGCCCCTTGCCTGAGGTCACCCTGCTGGTCAGGTGAACAGAGACTTAGCTCTCTCATCTGACCGGCTTCTTTTTAGTACTTCACATTTTCTGCCAAGAGATGCTGGGTCTTTGCTACATGCCTGCTTCCCATTTCAGTACCTCCTCCTCTCCCTAGGCTCCAGTCCTGTCTCCAAATACTGCTCCTGAGACTTTGGGTTTCAGTAGTGGAGTCGTGAAAACCTTAGGATCTCCAGTGGAGCAGTATCAGGCCAGTGACAAGATTAGAAAGGACACTGAGAAGCAGAAGGGGTAGTCATCCTGGTCCTTACCCCCAAGAATTTTTCTTGGTGTCTGATTTGGTCCGCAGTTGAGACATTACTCCGTATCTAGTAAAAGCAAGTTCTAGCCAGGTGCAGTGGCTCACACCTGTAATCCCAGCACTTTGGGAGGGCAAAGCAGTATGATCACTTGAAGCCAGGAGTTTGACACCAGTCTGGGCAGCATAGCAGGACTCCCATCTCTACAAAAAGGAAAAAAATTAGCTGCACATGGTGGCACACACCCGTAGTCCTAGTTACTCAGGAGGCTGAGGCCAGAGGATCGCTTGAGCCCAGGAGTTTAAAGCTGCAGTGAGCTATCATTGTATCACTGCACTCCAGTCAGTGACAGAGTGAGACTCTGTCTCTAATAATAATAAGTACATAAAAGCAAATTCCAATTCCCCTTGTTGACTGAACTACTTGAGGGCAGGATCTGTTCGTTCACTGTTTTGTCTCTAATTGCTGTCACTAGTCACTAAGTGCTTGTTGCAGGAAGTTGTGGGTGGGACTTCTGTGGTGGTGCTGGTCTGGGGTCACCCTCGGGAGCCAGAGGTCACAGTCTGTGGGGGAGAGGCTATGCTTCCTTAGAAATGGCTCTGTTACTTGAGAATGTGAAGGAAGCTTTGTAGAAAGAGGAAGTAGGTATTTTTTTTTTTTACCCCATAAGTCTTTCCCCTGTCATTGGGATGTGATCACTTGGACCCATTTTATTCAGGTGTGACACTTGACCCCTCTTGGGATGTTCTTATCTAAGGGACATTTGAGAGTACTTTAGAACATACTTTCAGGCCTCAGGGGCCCTGGTGTCCAGCAGAGCCTAGACCAGGGTGGTCTGGGATTGTGGCTGCATCCAGCCAGCAAGACCTGGAGGCTGTGGCAGTGGTGCCTGGGAAGTCTTTTGCTGGTGGGTAGGCAAGTGAGACCACAACTGTCTCTGCCATCTGCGGTCCCCTGGGAGGTGGAGGGAGCCAAGGGACACCCCGACTGTGCTTAGTGCCTCTCACTGGAGGAGTGGGAGGAGTGCCCATGTAACTAGCCCTCCCTCCTCCTTCCACTGCAGGCTGGATCCTCATTGACCGGTGTGGGAAGCACTTTGGTACGATACTCAACTACCTTCGAGACGGGGCAGTCCCCTTGCCTGAGAGCCGCCGGGAGATTGAGGAGCTGCTGGCAGAAGCCAAGTACTACCTTGTCCAGGGCCTGGTGGAAGAGTGTCAGGCAGCCCTACAAGTAGGCATCACCCTTTTTTTCTATATAGTGGGAGGCACCAGCCTACCTTCCTTCTTCATTTTCTCTCACTGCAAAATGGGGGCAGTTCCTGTCTCACAGAGATGTCATGAGAGTTTATGAGTTGACCCTGGAGCCTCTTCCTGTGGTCCCAGTGACCCGAGAGGCTTCCCGGGACTGTGCAGGCCACCTAACAACTCTCCAACCTGCGAGTCCCCAGGGTGTTGGATCCTGTTACATGTGCACTGCAACCTTCAGCAGTGAACCACGAAGTGCAGAACCTGACCCATTTTCTGATCCCATTCTGGCCCTATGAGTCACTGTGAGGCCAGCATAGTCTCTACAGACAAACACCTCTACTCCTTGACTAGATGGGGCAGGACCGGTGGGGCCAGGTCTGGTGATGGTAAAATCCCACAAAACCAAAATGCTTCAGACATAGCCAGCAGCCCTTTATTTTGAGCAAAGTTAGGATGTACCAGGGCTTCAGGAGAGTCCCTTGGGTGGGCATGCATGAGGCTCTCGTCGTGTCTCCCCCGCCACGTGTCTGTGCCTGGCCTTCCACTGGAGCAGTGCCCACAAGGTCACACACCCTCTAACCCCGAGCGTCTGTGACTCTTCGTAGATCTAATTGAGTGTTGCAGCATTTACCTTCTTACTGTAGTGTTTATGTTTACTAAAGTAAGCACAAATATCATTTAGGAAGTCAGATAATGCTTGTGAGGCTGATATCAAATACACTACCGTGCCGCTTTCCACGCACCCTCACACCTGAGGTACCCTCTTTTAATTCTTTCAGCAACTTTTTCTTTTTCTTTTTTTTTAATTAGAGTCTCATTGTGTCGCCCAGACTAGAGTGCAGTGGCATGCTCACAGCCACCGCAGCCTTGACCAGCTGGGCTCAGGCAATCCTTCTGCCTCAGCCTTCCAAGTAGTTGGAACTACAGGTGCATGCTACCGTGCCTGACTAATTTTTTGATTTACTGTAGAGACAAGGTCTTGCCAAGTTGCCCAGGCTGGTCTTGAACTCCTGGGCTTGGGCAGTCCTCTTGCCTCAGCCCTTCAAAGTGCTGGGATTACAGGCTTGAGCCACTGCGCCCAGGTGGCTTTTTCTGGTAACACATTTCCACATAACTTATCTATACTGCTATTTAATAATGTTTCCATTTTCGAGTATTATCTACTGGCATCACTACAGAAGATGAGAATTCAGCTCATGCACTACCACCACCCCCAATTACCACCAAGCTTATACCTACTAATTCCTTCTCCTGTTCACCTAATACAGCTTCTCACAGTCTTGGTTAAGTCCAGAGTTTACATTATGATGTAGAAATATGGCTAACAGTTAAGCCACAGAGTATACAGTGATTATTTTCTTTCTTATACAACTCTTAGTTTGCCAGAGTTCGTGTTTGCCTCATTGTTTTGTTTGCTTGACTTTCTAAGTGTCTACTCCTAGTTAAGCCCCACCTTCTCAGACAGTCCCATATTGGTATGTCCAGACACATCAGCGATTCTCTGCCTCCTCATTATCTTGGTGACATGCCCCCTGGGTTCCGTTTCTGTTTGTCTGAGGGTAGCCCTTGTCTCGTTCCTCTTAGGTTCTCTGGCTTTATCTTTTTGTTCTGCTTTCTCGGAGTTTTCTTTTCAGTTTTATCTTTCACCCTTCTATTACATTTTTCATTTCTGCTCTCATATTTCTAATTTCCAAGAGCCTTTTCTTGTTCCTGAATGTTCTGTTTCATATAGCATGTTGATCTTGTTTCATAGGATGCTATGCCTGCCCTCACCTATCTGATGCTAATATCTGAGGTTTTCTTTCTTCTCTCTTTGTCTGACTCTTCTCTAGTTCTCTTTGATTTGGTCTTTCTCTCATTTTTGAGAGACTTTCCACATATTATCTGATGATCCTAGTTGTCTGCTGAAAGGGTAAGACTGAAAGCTGTGTGTGTGTAGGCAGTCCCTTCTGTCCAGTGGGCTGCATTGTGCATGAAGAGGCTGACTTGTTTTGTTTTGTTTTGTTTTGTTTTGTTTTGGTGGGAATTCCAGCTGTCAGAATCTGTAAGCCATTTTGGGGGACAGGAAGAGAAATCCTCTACTTTCCTCCTGGGTGGGTGTAAGCCTGGCTGCCTGCCTTTGGGGATCCAGTAGGGGAAAGTACCAGGGATGCTCACTATTTAGTGTCATGTTCACTTAATTCCCTGTTTTCACAATAGTGACTCGGCCCTGTCCTCTACTGTGTAATCCATTCTAGGAAAATGGACTTTTCTTCTGCCAGGGGATGGTTCCAGGGGGTCTCACTGGTGCTTTTGCCAACTGGCAGGCACCCTCTACTCTTGCCCTGTGCCTGCCAGCCTTCAGGACTGTTCTCTGGAGAATGTCCAGTCTGTTTTCCCATCTGTTGACTTGGGTTTCAGCTTTCTCGGTCTCCTGGTAATTCCTTACCTGTGACCTGCTTTCTACCTGTGAGTTTTTGACTGTCTTTTTTTTTAGGTTTTTATCGGGGGGTGAGGGGGCTGCCTATCTCACTTTTCCCTTTCTCGCCTTATGGGCTTGTAACTTTCTTTTTTTTTTTTTTTTGAGACACTCTGCTGCCCAGGCTAAAGTGCAGTGGCACAATCATAGAGTTCACTGCATCCTCAATTCCTGGGCTCCGGTGATCTTCCAGCCTCAGCCTCCCTTGTAGTTTGGTTACCGGCATGCAACACCTCGCCCAGCTAATTTTTAATTTTTTTTGGTAGAGACATGGTCTCACTGTGTTTCCCAGGCTGGTCTCAAACTCCTGGCCTCAGTCAGTCTTTCCACCCTGGCCTCCTAAAGTGCTGGGATTACAAGTGTGAGCCATCAGGCTTGGCCAGCTTATACCTTTTTATTCCTCTGCAGTCATCATGGGAGAATTTTAGGGACTTATTATTAAATCAAGCTTCTACTGCCATGAAGGGGCTTTATTTTTTGGTAGTTCCTGGACTGTGGAAAATATGTCATCCCTCTTAGTATTTACTGAGCACCCTGGCATATAATAGCCACAGCCAAAGAGCAGACTTAACTGGAAAATCCAACTCCTAGTCTTCCCCCCTCTGACTGATTGGTGGTAAGAGTCCGTCTCTCTTCCCAGCCTTGACTGCCCTATCTCCCGTCACCAGAGCCTGTCTTTGTCCAGCAGGCCAGCTTAAAAATACCATGCTTGGCAGGCCTCTTAGGCTGAAAGCGTGTTTTGTTTCAGCAGAACAAAGATACTTATGAGCCTTTCTGCAAAGTTCCTGTGATCACCTCATCCAAGGAAGAACAAAAACTTATAGCGACTTCAAATAAGGTATGTTGGAGGTACCCTTATGGAATGCCTTTTGCTACCAGAAATGATAGAGGTACTTCTGGATAAGTTTTGAAATTAAAAATGTATGTAATTGCCTGAGCAAGGCCTGAGATGGGGTTCAGAATGGGAAACTGAAGCCATCCTATGTCAGCCTGCAACTGGGTCATGTGGTCCCCTGCCCCGGCCAGCAAGTTGTGCCTCCCTGTCTGCTCTGCCTCATGACAGGGGCCCAGCCCATGGGAAGCCAGAGGTTCATCACACCTGCCTGCCAAGTAACTCTCTTCTTTCCTTGTAAACAACCCACAGCCAGCCGTGAAGTTGCTCTACAACAGAAGTAACAACAAGTACTCGTATACCAGGTAAGGTGTAGGCCCGAGGAAACACTGCACACGCGCCAGCCAGGCTCGGCGCCTTTTGCTTCCTTTAGTTGAGGATGACCCCTCTGCTCCTCATCACCCCAAAAAGAAATCCTCTTCTTATTAGTAGTCGCTCTCCATTTTCCCCCAGCCACCTCCCCTGATCCCCAGCCCTAGGCAACCATGAATCTGCTTTCTGTCTCTATGGATTTGCCTATTCTGGACATCTCATGGATAGAATCATATACTATGTGACCTTTTGTGACCAGCTCCTTGTCTTAGCATCATGTTTTCAAGGTTTATCCATGTTGTAGTGTGAATCAACACTTCATTTATTTTTATGGCAGTATAATAATACGCCATTGCATGGACCACATTTAATCATCCATTCATCATTTGATGGACATTTGGGTTGTTTCTACTTTTTGGCTATTCTGAATGATGCTGCTGTGAACATGATGCTGCTATGAACATTCATGTTCACAGCAAGTCTTTATGTGGATACATATTTTCATTTCTCTTGAGTAGATACCTAGGAGTGGAATTGCTGTGTCATGTGGTAACTCTAGGTTTAGTCACTTGAGAATTTGCCAAACTGTTTTCCAAAGTAGCTGCACCATTTTACATTCCCACCAGCAATATATGCAGGTTTTGGGGATGCCTTTTGACTCTTGGGAACCTGCGGCTCTAAGTTAGCAATGGGAGGATGCAGTGGGTATTTAATGAGGTTACTCAAGATCCTTAAAAAGATCTAGAAGTCTCCCTTGGGTATTGTCTTTCATGTGGCTTGGTGAGGCTGTGTCCTTCACCTGGTGCCTGTGCCCAGGGGCTGGCTGTATCTCTGGTGGTTTCAGAACCATCACTCAGGCATGCTGTTTAGGAGCACAGGCTTAGAGACCAGAGCTGTCTTTTGGGGGCCTGGCTCTGCCGTTTCTTAGCTTTTGGCTTTGGGGCATTACCTAATTTCTCTGACCCTCACTTTCTTTCTTTGAACACTGGAGACTAGTGCCTTTCTCATGGGATTATTGAGAGTGGAATAAGATAGTGGAGAACATAGACCCAGTAGGGCCCAACAAATGGTGGCAGTCTACCAGCTTGTGGTCACCTTATCAAATGCTCTTTTGCAGCAATTCTGACGACAATATGTTGAAAAACATTGAACTGTTTGACAAGCTGTCACTACGCTTTAACGGAAGGGTCCTGTTCATAAAGGATGTCATTGGGGATGAGATCTGCTGCTGGTCCTTTTACGGTCAGGGCCGCAAGATTGCTGAAGTCTGCTGTACATCCATCGTCTATGCCACGGAGAAGAAACAGACCAAGGTAAGGGCCTTGAAAGGACAGGTATGGGTGGCTGCTCTGAAGTACTTGTAGAACTTCCTTCCACTTGAGCAAAATAAAGAGGGAAAGGCTTTTAAACTGCTTTCTTTGCCTTGCGGTTGCTCATTGTTAAAATATTTATCTTTTAGGCCTCGGAAGTATGTAAGTGTAGGTCTTGAGGAAACAGAATGGCATTCCCCTTCTGACACTCAGCAAGTAGAGATAGTCATAGTGAATGCAGTTCCTTAGCCGTAAATTCAGATCCAGACTTACACTCCTTTGTGCTCCCTGCCAACATTTTTTCCCTTTGATGTCAGTGGTCTTTCTGAACTGCCTGAGCTCTTCCTCACCCACCTCCATACAACGTTATTTCCTACCAGTGTGGTCCCAGCTGGTCTCCCTCATGAGAAGAGCGGTCCTTCCTTCAAGATCCTGACTGTGGCTTTCTGGTCATGACCTGTGCTTACCAGGCATCTTCTGTCCTCCTTGTACTGCTGGCCCACAGCTGCCTTCCACCCTCTCTTGGGGCCTGCTCAGTGTTCCTTAGCTCCCCACCGTGTTGGCGTCCCTGCCCAAACTGTACTTACGTCCATTTTTATGTCCTCCTCTCCAAACCAAGAGGCTTGCCCTCTCCCTTCACTCCTCCCGCCATACCACTCCGTAAAGCTGGACGTGCCACGTGCTGCTGGAGATCCGGCTGCTGTTAGTTGGATTTCGCTCTCAGGTCTTCTGCTTGCCTGCCCTTCTTGGGCTGTGAGAGTGAGCTTGCTTTCTTTTGGGGACTTTTAATCACGATATACATTCTGTCATTTCTTTCTCAACCTATCTGAGGGAACTCGGATTACCAGTGCTGTGCAGTAGGTCTGCCATAGGCCAGTTGTCATGTCTGTCATCTGCCTCATCCCGGCACACAGGCGTAGTGATGTTGTCATTAGTCTGTAGGTCACCTGCTCGGGTGATGAGTGTCCCTGCAGCTTTAAGAGGCACACAGTTCCGTAGCATTCTGGAACTGTCCTCAAGCAAAGAGCAAATGAGAGAAAATCACATCACAAAGTAGAAACCAGAATCTTTTTTTTTTTTTTTTAACTTTTATTGAGAATTTAAGTCCTGCACAGAATTAAGAGTAGCACAGTGACCTCCCTGGACCATGACCCATCTCCAAGGACTCTGGTTCATGGTCACTCTTACGCGGTCTGTGTCTACTCTTCCTCCCCAGCACTCACAGGGCTGGCTTGACAACATATTTTATTCATTTAGAATCTATCCTAAAAGGATATATATTGTTGTTAAGGTAGCTAAAAAGAGGGAAAACACTGAGGTTCTTTTTTCTCTTAGAGATAGCAGGGCATGGGCCAGAGAGGGAACCAGAGTCATCGGCTTCCCAAACCACTTTCACGAGACACATCATGCCTGTCTTCTCTGAACTCTTTTTTTTAGAGCTGTGAAATCCTGTGACTGGACCCCTATTTCATCATGGTTTGGTTGTTTTTTGTTTTTTTTTAACATACTCTGGCTGCCTCTGCCCTTGGGTATTGTGATAGTCAACATACTGATCATGCTTTAAAAATATTAATACTTCTCATTTTTAGAGCTTAACAGGGAGCGATAGGATTTAGAGACCACGTGATCTGATCCCAGTTTTTTCTAGATTAGCAGATGGGTTCTGGAGTGAGCCCATACTTGTGTGTGTGAAGCTGGTTTGTGGCAGAGTGAGCACAGGAGGCCAAGGTCCCCTTCCCACGGCTCCTTTTGCTCTGCCAGCCTGTTCCTTTCTCCAGGGAAGCATGTGACTTTGGCTTTCCAGGGAGTTGGTGTCAGGGACAGCTGCCTGCTCAGGAACAGGTTTCTCCGTCATCCAGCCCAGACCTCTGGGAGCTGGGCTTTGGGTGACACACACATTTTACTGTCTTAAGCAACTGCAGATGTTCCATTTGGGATTTGTTTTTGTGGCTTTTTTCATAATTGGTATCTTCCTTGGTGCAACATCCCAGGTGCCTTACTAATTATTTTAGTTGTCATTTTGCTGGAAAGGGTATGCCTTGCTGAAATTAAAGTTTAAGCAGATGTTTAATACATACACTCCATTTGGTTCATACTTCTGATTCATACCTCTGATTCACTGAGTCCCAGGTAATCGTGAAGTATAGAATTCTGCCCTTCACTGGTCATTTTTCTTTCTGTTCAGATTGTGTCATTCTAGTGACCCTTTCCCCTGTCATTTCCACTCCTGTTGAGCCTTTCAGTGACTTGGACTTGTTGTTTTGTGTGTATTTGTTTTGGTTATTGGATTTTCCAGTTCTAAAATGTTCATTTTGTTCTTCTATCTGCTGTATCCTTGCAGAGAGTTCTTCTGTTTCCATGAGCATTTGCCCTTACTTGTTGGAACATTTTTACAACAGCTGCTTTCATGTCTCTGTCAGATAATTCCAACATCTTGTGTCATCTTGGCACTGGTGTCTGTTGGTTATCTTTTCCCACGATGGGGAGTTGAGATTTTCCTTTGTTTTTGTCAGTGTCTCACTCTGGTTGCCCAGACCAGAGTGCAGTGGCACGATCATAGCTCACTGCAGCCTCAAACTCATGAGCTCTCAAGCAATCCTTCTTCTTCAATCTCCTAAGTAGCTGGAACTATAGGCACATGTGGCCATGTCTGACTATTTATTTTTTATTTTTATTTTTTTGTAGAGACATGGTCTCACTATGTTGCCCAGGCTGGCTTGAACTCCTGGGCTCAAGCAATCCTTCTGCCTCAGTTTCACAAAGTGCTGGGATTACAGACTTGAGCCATAATGCCTGGTCTTCCTGGTTCTCCCTGTGCTTAGAAATTGTGAATTGTATTCTGGACATTTTGAGTGTTACATTACAGGATTCTGGGCCTTATTTAAATTTTAGGGAGAACATTGATATTTTTGTTTTAGGAGGCAATTGACCCAATTGGGTTCAGGTTGCAAGCTCCAACTAGCCTTCTGTGGTTGGTAGTTCCAGGGACGGGACAGTTCAGTTCACAAAGCCTTCAAACCTGTCCCATGTATATCTAATGCTGTGGCAAATCTGTCCCTAGCAGTGTCTGTCCCAATTTTCAATTCTTGCAGTCTGTGTTTGCCACTTAGAGGCAGGTCCTGCAGCTGAGTATGAGTCCAGAGTTGAGGTGCAACTTTGTTGGCTACTTTCTCAAGCTCTCCTTCTTTCACAGTCTCCTTAGTACTCTCAGCAGCTTCCTGAGGGCTCCCCTTTTTTGGCTGGCTGGGCAGAAGACTGGGCGTTAGTTACTCTGGCTCTGCCACCCGGTTCCTATGACTGTGCCCACATGTGGGGCCAAGTAGCATGAAGATAGAGAAACAAAGCAGCAGGTTCACCCCGTCCGGTTGAGACCACAGCTCTTCTCATCAGAAGGAAAGGTTCCCTCCCTGAGTTGTGACCCCTGCAGGCTCTGTTGCTGCCACAGCTCAGCTGCCACAGATTGCTCAGGGCAGATGTACAAAAAAACAGAGAAGGAAAATGGGCTGTCCTCCCACCCTCCGTGCATCTGAGACTCTGTCTGCTTCCCTGGCTGTTGGAGACCTTCTAGAACTCTCTGTCCTGGGTTCATTCCAGCTGCATTGATGCTGGCAGGGTACAGTGGTGCCCTCACCGCTGGTTTGGTATTGCTTCACATTCTAGTCTTTACCTCAGTCTGCCTGCTGCTATTCTCAGAGTCTTCAGCTGCTGTGTACATGCTGTCCGGGCTGGGTGGTGTCAGTGAGGAAGATGGTAGGGTGACTTACTCCATTTCTTAGAGTCAGAGCGTCATAGTCTACCCTTCAAAGCAGAGTGTAGTCTGTGAGTCCAATGTCTGGGCCCACTTATTTGTCCTTCCTCTTGTTCACAGCGCCTCAAGCCTGATGGGCAATAAGCCAACAGTGCTTTGCCAGACGAGAGGAATCGTGTCCATTTCTTGAAGGTCCAAGGGTGCTCTTAAGACTATTGTAAGCTGTTGAAGAGTTTGTGTGCAAAGCTACTCTGTTAGGAGCAACATATGGGCGTGACCTAAATGTCCATCCAAGTGAACTGGTTAATTGCATTGTTATGCATTGAATTTATGTTAGAGACAGGGTCTTGCTATCTTGCCCAGGCTGGAGTGCAGCAGTGCAGTCATAGCTCACTGCAGCCTCCAACTCTTGAACTCAGACTTTCCTCCCACTTCAGCCTCCTAAGTTACTGGAGCTACAGGCGCGTGTGTACCTGGCTTGCATTATTGTATTTTTTACAATTCCTTGGTATGGAATGATCTCCTGGTTAAGTTAGGGACAAGAAGAAGGTACACAGCAACCCATGTGGTGGGCGACGTTTTGTGTTTTTTAAAGTGTGTGAATATATGCCAAGGGTGTCCAAAAAATGTATACATGCTTTAAGAGATGTTATCTGTGTATTATTAAAAGTATTACTTTACTTTTAGTTCACCATAATCAGAAGTGTCTGGATGCTGGTGGTAACTACTTTGAGCACCTCGTGTAATTGCAGACGTCTAACATGACTTGTATTCGTCTTTTATTATCAGTATATATTATTTCAATCTTAATAGTTTTTTTCCTGTCTTAAAGGGTGTATACATCTTTTTGACACCCTCTGTAAATATACGCATTTTTACATGCACAGAATCTCTCAGGGTAAAATGATGAGAAGCGTTGCCTTCAAAAACGGAAACTGGGGGCAGGGGGACAGGGAGAACTATTTTCCTGCATTCCCTTGGTCTTTTGTGAATTTAGCACCATGTGTAAGTGTTGCCTGTGGAAAATAACAACTGATTTAAAAATAATGACAGTTTTCAGTGGACTCCGGGCCCTGCCCGGAAGTACAAATGGTAGCAGTGGTGGGCTGTGTGCGCACTTTGCTAACTTTCCTGCCCTGTATCTTGTGGGGCTGCAGGTCGAGTTCCCTGAAGCCCGGATTTATGAGGAGACCCTGAATATTTTGCTGTACGAGGCCCAGGATGGCCGGGGACCTGACAATGCACTCCTGGAGGCCACGGGTGGAGCAGCTGGGCGCTCCCACCACCTGGACGAGGACGAGGAGCGGGAACGGGAGCGGATCGAGCGCGTGCGGCGAATCCACATTAAGCGCCCCGATGACCGGGCCCACCTCCACCAGTGAGCCCACCTCCACCAGTGAGCCTGCCACAGCCCGAGCCGCCCCTCGCACCGCCCCTTCTCCCCGCCGTGCTGCACTCAGACCGTATGCGGGCTCCAGGGCACTTTCCACTTCCTCTGGAGCTTGGAAATACTTTTATAACAAGCCAGATGATTATTTCGGTATTTCTTGATGAAGCGAATTGATTGTTTTGACCCAGACGTATACACCCCTGTTGAACAAGCTGTGTCTAAGGTCTCTACTTTTCATGAGAACCCGAGAATCTATGGAGCCAAGGCTTCCTCGGAAGAAAAGTATGAATGAATGTGAAGCGTATGTAAGAACTGTTTGCGGTATTTATTTTTGTGGGTGTGACTCCCTGTTTGGGCTTTTCAGTTGACATTCCCTTAAGGGTCCTGTTTGATAGTTCTGAGAGGAGTTCTGTGGGTGGCAGCCACCAGAGGTTTCTTGAGCTCCCTGTTTCAGATTTCATGATCCTCCAGCCCTAGCAGATTGGCTCCTGGTTCCTGCATATCTGGCCCAGGAACAGTCTCTGTTGCTTTGCTAGAAGTTCACTCTGCCACGTGGTTTTGTGCCTAGAGCTTGTGCAGTGGAAATGTGACCTAATGAGCCTCTAAACTGTTTTTGCTAAATGTTGCTTTGGGTACAAAGCTGTGGCAAACCTTTTACTGCCTTGTTTTTGGCCTGGCACTGGCTGGGACCCCAAGTGTCTGTCTAGGAGCAGAGCTTCAAGGGCGGGGAGTGCTCAGCTCTGTTTCTGGCTACTTCCCTGACTCCTGCCCCTTCCAGTTACCCTCCTGGTTGCCCACTCTGTTCTAGGAAGGCTGCCTGACACTGAGAGGCATAGCTCACAGATTACCCCGCCAAGGGATCTACTCCTCCTCCTTTTCAGCCTTCCTGCCCTGAAGCTGGGTTTACTGCAGTCGGTGGGTGCCTTGCCCTTTGCCTAGAAATTCAGTGTGGACCAGACTCTCCTCCTGGCCTGGCATCTAGGGAGGGACACGCTTCTACCACCAGCCCCCTAGGAGCTTCCCAGCTAGAAACACAGCCGTCATCTGAAGACCCCCTTCCTTTCTTTGCCTCGGATTTTTACACAGTATAGCGTGGCCAGCAGTGACTAGGTCGAGAGGTTGTGCAGATACCTTTGGGTCCAGTCTGTGTCTGTGTTGGTGTGTGTTAAAGGGATATGTGACAGTTGGTGGGATGTGTGCTTGTGGGGCACAGGTGGCTCACGCTGGAGCCCAGTTGTGTGCACGTTGCTGGCGTGGGATGGACGTTCGCAGTGACCTACCTCTCAGGCTCCTCTGTGCCTGCCAGGGAACAGAAGGGAGCCACAACTGACATGGGTGGGTGAGACTAGACTAGGTAGAGTAGTCAAGGAGCATGAGTGTGCCAGGTGATGGGCCTTGCCTGTCATCAAGGGCACTGCTACTGTTTTATACCAAAGGTGTTAACATGGGCAGCCTTTGACACATGTAGTCCAAAATACGAGTCTATATTTTGAGACGGTTTTTACAGCTTAGACCTTGTACGTACTGCCCTGCCTTTATTTTGTATCCAGCAGCAAAGTCTACAATAAAACTTTAAAACAATCGTTACTGAACATCAAATCCATATACTGGGTAGATGTTTTTTAAACTGTCGTGTAGGAAACTTTTATATTAGGACATTTGAATTTTACTGTTAAGGAAAGAGGGTTTACAAATAATGTTTTGTAACTATTTTATACTGTTTAAGTTTTAAACACCAACCCTGCCGTTTGGGTTGACCTTTTTTAGAAAGTTAAAGTGAATGTCAGTTCTGATGTTTTCTGTAGGAATGGAAAAGCCATTATATAAACTGTTGTGAACGTCTGTGTGAAGAACAAGTCTGTGGAACAGTTTTGATTTGTTCCTTCTAGGGCTGTGACCTAGTGTTTCTGGCAGCTCTCTCTACTGTCCCTGTCCTCAACTTGGCGCCTGTTCTTCTGTGTCTTTGCCTCTGTGAGATGTGTACAGGTTCCTAAGACATTCCAGGGTGGATGACACTGTTCACTGCCTCTAGCCATAAGCAGACAGTGTTGGCTGGTCCCAGCTCTGTCACCGACTAGACTCAGCAAGAAACTGATTTTTCTTATGTTAGCCTGAAGGGCAAAAATCAATATTTATAATTGAAGAACCATTCAAGTAAAACACTGGCCTAAGATTTGGTAAAGCGCAAGGTTTTATTACATGTTGTAATAGCTTACAAGTTTTTTAAAAAATTGGAACAGCTTTTGGTCTGTTGGAATCAAGTTTAGTTTGATCGTTTTTTGGATTTTTTTTTTTTTTTGCATAAGCCATCTGATAGGGGAGGGGGTATGCCCCAGGCAGTTCCTGCCGTTCTGTGGTCGCTGTGCAGGTGCCCCAGCCCCCATTAGGTGTGTGTGCCTGTACCCTGCAGCAGCTGCCCAGGAGCTGGGCGAGCGACTCAGCCCTCCCTCTCCAGTCTGTGCTGTCTTCAGGGCTCCACCCTCAGTTACTATAGTACATTTAGGTGTGTCCTTCACCTTTCTGTCTCTTTGCCCTCAGAAAAAATGCTGTAAGTTTTAGAAGTAGTCACTGTTGTTGTATAAGCACTTGTGGACATATATAAAATAAAAGTCATATAGTACTTCTATCTAACTCTGTTTCCTGGGTCTTTTCTGAACTGCCCAGCACAGCTGGGCCACTGAAGTACATCTGCAGCAAAGAGCAGGACAGGCCCCACATTCAACCTTGCCATCTCAAGGCTGCTTCAGGAGAAGGGAGAGATGAGGCCTTTAGCTGTGGTGGTTGAATTCAGATACCGAAAGGAAGTCTCAGGTTAAAGGCTGCCTGGCTTGGAAAAAAGCAGAATGATCCACTGGTGTTACCACTGATTTACTGGGGGGAGCTGGGGGGACTCAGCTCACCATCTGGGACCTGAAGAGCCTAATAGAAACTTAACCAAATTCCTTGACACTTCTAAGTTCCATTTATTTGAAACAAAATCCAAATAACACAGCTTTATGAAATTTTCTTTACTACTGTCAGACCACAGAATGTCTTCGATAGGTTCTCAAACTGTGACTTGAAGCAAAACCAGTAGGTTAATGGATGTAAACAAGAGGTATGTTCCTACAGCATATTTCTGGTCACAGAAACATCACCAAACTTTTAAATGAAGACCAAAACACTTCTAATATTAAGCACTGAGGTACATGTGAACTATACATACATTTAATTAAATTAAAAATAATACCCAATTTTTGGTGCATCAGAATGATGGTGGTCATGGTGGTGGTGGTGGGTTAAATCAAGGAATGTTTGCAAAGAGAACACTGTAAGAGTACTTTGTTCTATCACACAGTTCAAAACCAGACAGTCACAAATATGGCAGCTTGCTGAGCAGTTTTATACTATGACATTTATTGTTAGCATTTGTATGATTCTCATATACTCTGTGAATTTTTATCTTACAGTAATTTGGATTCATTTATTTTCCAGCCTGCATATTTCCAGTTCAGGGTCTCAGGTGGCCTGAACCTGTCTCATCAGCTCGGGGCACAAGGCAGGAACCCATCCTGGATAGGACACCATCGCAGGACATGCTCACACACACCCACAATCAAACAGAGGTGTGGAGACACACCAGTTCGCTTGATGTGTACATCTTTGGGAATGTGGAGAAAACTGGAATAACCAGAGAAAACCCACGCAGATGGGTTTTCTGCATGGAAGAAACATGCCAAGACCACAGGGACCGGGAATCGATTTTTTTTTTTCTTATCAATGTTATAACACAATGGCATGGAATGAAAAAATGCTCTTTGAGAATTTGCTGCACATAATATTTCATGCATCTCAGGGGCAGCTTGACAAAGGTAGAGAATCTTACCCACCCTATGATGAGATGCTGAAGTGCCTGTCAAGTACAGGTACTGTTGGGGATGGTGAAAACCACGTTTGTGGGTGACCTGAGGTCAGCTCCCAGAAGAAGACATTTTAATATTGTTCCATAGGGCAACTGAGAAGCTGGGTTAGGCTTTGGCATAACGTGCTGCATGGTTTCTTTAGATGAGATGCTTTTCCTAGTGCTGTTGGAATCTTGAAGATGTAGCTAACTGCATCAGATCCCTGATTCCCCAGTTCTTTCCTCAGTTGGAGCAAAAATGGCGATGGGAGAGGTCAGGTGCCATCCTCTATCAGGACTTCCTCCGTACTGACACCTGGGAGAGCCATGCTTCGGTTAGAGACCTCCCAGCTCCCTTCACTCAGAAGGAAGCAGTTATCACTTCACTGACACCATCCACAAAGTGAGAGGCCAGATGTAGAAACTGGCTGGCTTAGACTGTTAGCCTCTTCAGCTTGAGCCAGTTAGGGAAGAAGATAGACTCTGTGACCCCAGAGGAGAGAGCCTCAATCTTGGGGCATACATTTTTTTTTTTTTGAGTTGGAGTCTCACTCAGTCACCCAGACTGGAGTGCAGTGGTCGCTCCCGGCCACCACAGCCTCGACCTGCTGAGCTCTGGCGATCATTCCGCCTCAGCCTTCCAAGTAGCTGGAACTATGGGCATGGGCTACCACGCCCGGCTAATTTTTTTTGATTTATTGTAGAGATGATGTCTTGCCAAGTTACCCAGGCAGGTCTCGAACCTGCGGGCTCAGGCAGTTCACTCACCTCGGCCTCCCAAAGTGCGGGATTACAGGCTGAGCCACCAAGCCTGGGCGGGGCATACATTTTAAGATAATTAAAAAATCACCTTACTGTTTACAGCTAAAATGATCCTTACTGTAACTTGTCCCTGAAAGAGTTAACTGTTTAGGAGCAATTATGTTATATAAGATGATTTTATGGGCAAATATATGTAAATTTAAATGTGTATGAGACAGTCCATATTGATAGACCATTTTTTAATTAGTTTGTGTCAAATAATTCTTGGTATACATACAAAATACATTTTAAAGATTCAGCTTCTCTGCTTTTAACACATCATTTTCCACCAACATTGAATCAAAACATGCTCCATGTCCTACCTGCCAGCGGGGACTGTGGGGATCCTCACCCCAGTATGGGGACTCCCTCTGGGAGGGCAAAGCACCTGAGTGCTTGGGCTTGGCCCAGCAGAGTGGTTCCAACCCTGTATTCACTAGACATTCTGTCCTCATTAGACCTGTGCTCTCTTATGTGCTGGGCCACACTCCCAATCAATTAAGTCTCAGATGGCGGGGAGCGATGGGGAAGGGACATAAGCACACTGGTGGCAACATGGAGAACCATGTGAGAACCACTGTAATGAAGACAAAGCCTTTGCCATCCAGTGAAAAGTTGGACTTTGGCATTTGAAACAGAAATATTTCATGTCCCCTTCTGGTTCCCTGGCAGTTAAAGAAGGTAATTTATATACCTCTAGTATCCATTTCTTACAGTCTTTCAGATGTAAAATCAGGAATAGAGGAAGACATGAACTAACTTGACTCCAGTCAATCTATGGACTGGAATTGGTAGAATTTCTACCCTGTATTCTCCTCTAAAACTACATACCTCCCTCCCCAAACATAGCCCTACTCACCACTGTTAACTGTCCATTTTTATCTTTATAGATTTGTTCTTCTGGTCCAGTGTTGAAAACGATTGTACCTTCTTTTCCGGGACTAATATAAAACTGTAAACTTAAAATACACAAAGTGACAAATTACTGTCATATCCCATTTTCTCCCCTCAGCCTTTGGTTTGCAGAAGAAATTCACTGATGAAGCTTGACTGATTTCTAGATAAAATTCCTGTTTTAGTACAGTGTTTTATTGCATACTTAAGCAACCAAAGGAAGAAAGTCATTTCTACAGCTGGGCAATTACATGCGTCTGTAGCTATTGTGAAATCGACTTAGCACATTCAACTCTTCAAAGAGCCCCTCTGATATCTGTGGAACCACCTGTGCACATCACCCTGGAACTCTTACAGAGGCTGGGTATTCTTTCAGAGGGACAGCAAAACAAGCTACAACACTCTCAAAGCTCATCTGTCTCTTACTATTCCACCTATGAATTTGCTCATCTGGTTGAAAAACTTGGAATAGCACAAGTACAAGGGAAAAGAAACCACTCTCCAGGATAGCCTGCCTTCACGGGACTTGGAAGCTGCATGATTCAGTCTGAAGGAAAGGACGGAGCGTGGGCCTTGGGAGTCGCACACTATTGTCGCTTGGCTGTGTGACTTCTGGCATGCTGGTTAGCTTCCTTGTGCTCTACTTGCCTCGCCCAAGAAATAGAAAAGGTGGCACCAACTCTGAACTACTTTAGAGTTGTTGAGAGAATTAATTATTATTGTTTTTCTACAGATAGGATCTCACTACATTGCCCAGGCTGGGTTTGAACTCCTGGCCTCAAGCTGTCCTCCTGCCTCAGCCTTCTAAAGTGCTAGGATTACAAGCGTGAGCCACCACATCTGGCCAAGAGTATTATATTCTTATGTGCTAAATATTTTTCTTTTACATCCTAAAGAAATTTTTTCCTAATCAATCTGTAAGCAACCTGCAAAGCTATAACTCAAACTTTAACTGCCCTCACAGGTACTGAAGCAAAGGTGTGGCTGTGACCTCTGGCCCAGAGGTTCACCGTCTACATGGTGACAGCTTTCCTCAAGAACATAAACACCTCCTTTGAAAATTATATGAGGAAAACACTGGCTTACACCTGTAATCCTAGTGCTTTGGAAGGCTGAGGCAAGAAGATCACTCAAGGCCAGGAGTTTGAGAATAGCATGTGCAACACAGTGAGACTCCATCTCTACAAAAAATAAATTTAAAAATTAGCTGGGGGTGGTGGTACACACCTGTAGTCCCAGCTACTTGAGAGGCTGAGGCGGGAGGATCACTTGAACCCAAGAGTTCGAGGCTGCAGTGAGTTATGATTGTGCCACTGAACTCCAACCTGGGCAATAGAACAAGACACTGTCTCCACTACAAAGAAAAACTATGGGAAGACTATTGCTTCCTGAGGTCACTGAGAAGTCACTGACTTATTCACGTGTCTGGAGCCCAAGACCCTAGGGGAGAAGATGGGAAATAGTTCTTCATGGAGGATAGCAAGGGTGCACCACTAGAGAACTGTTCCCACCCCAGCTGGTAGATGGTGGAAGGAGGAGGCAGCATGGGTGAAGGGATGAACACCTGCTTCTTCCTTGACCAGTTCACAGACATTTAGCATTGACGAGGAAGCCACCTACCTTTCTTGGACAACATTCACAATGTTCTCCTTCTTAACTAGCATGACGAGCTTAGTAACTGCTTCAAATATATGCTCACACTGTAAAATGGTATCCCCCTGCAGTGGAGAGGAGACAGATGTGGTTTTACTATCAATGATTTAAAGGAAACACACCCAAATGCTGAGATTCCATGGTTTTCAGCTTTACATTTTAGTAGCGTATTGTGTCTTAGCAGAGACTGGTGGCCATCAATTACCTTTTGCTTATTGTCCTCTGGCAAAACATGAATGACCAAGACTCCGTCACTCAGACTGCTGGTGGAGACACCTTAAGACAGATCCAGAGTTAGGGTCCAGAAGCTGGACAGCTTGGCATTAATACAGAAGAAGAGACCCACCCAGGGACTACCTAGCCCCATGCTTTATTCTCCTGCTGGGCCCTGTGGGATAATGGGCACACTTCAGAAATCAGCCTGCTACTGGGCTGTGATCTGAATAAAAATCAGGCCATCGCAGAAGGCAACTATCGTCCAAACTGGATACTTGAGTAAAGTGGTGCTTTTGATATTTATGCCGGGATCAGAGACACAGGTCAGGCTAGGCCACTCTGCTCTTTCTTTTTTCTTTTTTTGAACAGGATCTTGCTTCTGTCACCCAGGCTGGAGTGCAGTGGCACAATCATAACAGCCTCTAACCTCTGAGCTCAAGCAATCCTCCCACCTCAGCCTCCCAAGTAGGTGGGACAACGGGCGCGAGCCATGGTCCCCAGCTACTGTGGGCTTTATGGGCACCGAACACATGTATCTCACATTTGAGGGCTTCATTACTGGTATTTCCAGTAGTCGAGTGAACTTGGAATTGTCTTAAGATTGCCCACTTCTTACCTTTGAGTGCTGAGTACTCTATTTTCTGCTTGATTTTGGCAAGTTCTACCACGTAAGCTGCTTTCTGAGTAAGGATGAGTTGTCGCTGCCGCGGTTTGAAGCCTTTCCTGTCATATTTAATGACTGGGGTACCATACTGCAAAGAGGTCACCATCACCACGAGGGGAAGTTATTTCACGGGGGAGGCGGGCCAGAGTACTGAGTTTCTTGCTGCTCAGACTCCGGTGAAGTTATCCCAAGCACTCAGCAAGGTCCAAACATATCATGTATAAACAGGGTGATTTTTCTGAGCCCTGGCTCCCTGCATGGTAGATTTCAATCCCCAGCTCTGCCTGCCTGGGTTGCCCAATAAGGATGTCAAGGCCATGGCCACCTGCCACGGGGTCTGCTCTGAAAAACCCTCACAGCCAGGGGGGTGACCCAATACAGTCACACTGGCTTCTGTTCTTCAGAACCAAAAGGGTGGCACACACGACAAACATGGGTGTCCGCTGGCTGCTCCATGCCAGGCCTCAAAATCCTCTGAGCACACCCGTCCTCTCAGCAGCCCCATCTCCATGGTCACAGGAGATTGAAGGACCCTCCGAGGGCTTAGAGACCTGTCTGGGATCTCTCAGCTGATAGGGTAAGACGTCAGCATCAGCCCCCATGCCCTGTGCCGCCCCCCAGGCGCTGTGAAGCTCGTGGCTACCTTTCACTCAGGACAGGAAAACAGGCCAGGAGTTCTAGCGCAACAGAAAGGACCCTAAGAACAGCAAGCAACAAATAAATCTAATGTTCTGTGTCCCTCATCATCTTAGTTAGCACCCAGAGTGTCCTTGAGGTTGGGAGCCCCGCCCACCCAGCTACACGCCTGCATTTTAAAAAGCGCTTTCAGACACTCCCTATGGAGAAAGCAGACCTGTTCTCAGGCTTAATGGGGGAGTCCTGTTGCAGGCTGAGGACAGACGTGGCCTTACCTGGATTTTCTCATTGCTAATTAGCTGAAGCACTTTGGGGTTAATGTCTCCTTCATCTACGGAGGGAACCAGAACACCATGAATCATCACTAAATCCCAACCCTGTGGAAAAGTCACTGGTATCTGCTGGTTTTATGTTCTTCTGTGCTGAGATCTCAGCGGGGGAAACAGCTGTCAGGAAATGCTACTCAGTAGGACATCTTCCTTTGACTTTTTTTTTTTTTTGAGTTGGAGTCTCACTCGGTCGCCCAGACTGGAGTGCAGTGGCCGCTCCCGGCCATTGCAGCCTCAACCTGCTGGGCTCTGGCGATCCTTCCGCCTCAGCCTTCCAAGTAGCTGGAATTACAGGCATGCGCTACCACGCCCGGCTGATTTTTTGATTTATTGTAGAGATGAGGTCTCGCTGCCCAGGCGGGTCTCGAACCCACAGGCTCAGGCAATCCACTCACCTCAGCCTCCCAAAGGCGCGGGATTACAGGCTGAGCCACCGAGCCTGGCTCTTCTTTGACATTTTTTTAGAATCTGCAATGGTACGTAGATGGGAACTTGTACTTACCTATTCGACTGTTGGCAAACGCCTGATTTAAACTTTCTGCATAGCCTTCTTTCTTTCCCTTGAATATCTCACTTGTAACCACCTTTTGCTGCATCTGGTAATACATAATTGAAAGTATGAAAATGGGAACCTTGGGTAGCCCTTTGGGACAGAGGAGCTTAAGACTCATGACAGCACACACTTCCCTGGATACGTCGTGGGAGCTATGTTGCCTGAGAGCACCGAAGTCAGAACACATTCCTGGTTTGGCCACAAAGCCCTAAAAATCCTACTGGTAGAGACAGGTTGACTACCGCTAGCCCTCTCTCGTACTAGCTTCCTCTTTTTAGGACTTCAGAGAGCAGTTTGTTTATTTCCTCTAGATCAGAGATCATAAACTACAGCTCATGAGCCAGCTCCTGGCTGCTGCCTGTTTTTGTAAATAAAGTTTTATCAGCACACAGCCATGCCGTTCATTCACATATTGTCTATGGCTGCTGTCCTGGCAGCAGTGAGCATATGGCCCACAAAGCCTAAAGTATTTCCTCTCTGGTCCTTTATAAAGACCTGCAGATGAGCAGCAACAAACCCGGGCCTCCAGCAGAAAGGGGCCTGTGTTCTTTGCGGCACAGAGACCATCTGAATTGTGTTCCCATGGTGACAATGCGAGCCACCAGCTGGCATTCACTGAGGGTTTTGGGCTAAGAGGTCTACATAAAGTTATCCTCAACACATTGAGGCATGGGACTAGCATTTCATCCAGCTTATAGGTGAAATGGTGGGTGAGGACTCTGACACTAGCAGTCTAATTGCAGGACTAGCACTCATCCCCGCCACCCTCCTGCCCCTGCAGACATACGCCCCTACCAGTGCTTTCTGCTCCGCTGTGACACCTTGGCAGTACTTCCGAACCAGGTTCCTCATGCACATCTTCCTGAGCAGATCCGAGGCCTGTGGAGAACACACCTCCTGTGTATCTGCCCCATGCACGCCCTGTCTCAGGCTGTGGCAACTGAAACAGAAGCTTTAAATTCAGCTGAGTTTAAAGTACAGCACTGATGTTTGATCGTCAACGAAAGCAGCTAACCTTCCCATCTTGCCCCAGTTTCACTATTGCTTAACTAGTGGTTCTCAAACTCGGAGAGGTTGATGAATCACCCAGGGAGTTGGTTACAAATGAGATTCCTAAAGGTCTGACTCCGTGGATCCAGAGTGGAGCCCAGGAGTCTTGCGGTAGCCCACTCTATGTAACAGACACTCAGGTCATCTACAAGAAACACTGTTCTGAGAAGGCTACGTCATGGATAGAAACCATTCAAGAGTGCTCTGTCTAAACACTTCCTCACCAGCTTCATGAGGCTAGGAAGGATATTGCAAATTCTGAGGAGTCCAATTTCTTGGGTCAAGTCCTTGCGAAGAAGTAAACTAAGGCAGCCCTTTCAAGCCAGAGGGAAGCCACACAAAGGAATGACAAGAGTGCGCTCCATCAGTGCCTGTGTTACTCACAACATCAGTGTCCCAGATTAGTCCTTACGTTTTCCAGGATGCCAGGAGGCCTCAGCCAGCTCCCGTCCAAGACATTCTTTGGAACATGATACCGAAGATTCAGGACGTAATTCTTCCGCACAAACACTATAAACTCCTCGTTGTCAGGACAAAGAGGTTTGTTGCGATTGATGAATCCTTTGATGAACCTAAAGAGGAAAAGTGTTATGTTGGCTTTCTGGCCCATGTCCTCACTGAGATTCACATCCTCTTCCCCATTTGTTTGACTTAAAAGAGGCCGCAGTGGGCTGGGCTCGGTGGCTCAGCCTGTAATCCGGCGCTTTGGGAGGCCGAGGTGAGTGGATTGCCTGAGCCCGCGGGTTTGAGACCCGTCTGGGCAACTGGGTGAGACCTCATCTCCACAATAAATAAAAAAATTAGCCGGGTGTGGTAGCGCGCACCTGTAGTTCCCGCTACTTGGAAGGCTGAGGCGGAAGGATCGCTGGAGCCCAGCAGGTCGAGGCTGCAATGGCCGGGAGCGTGCCACTGCCCTCCAGTCTGGGCGACAGAGTGAGACTCCAACTCAACAACAAAAAAAGGAGGCCGCAGTGGTAGAGGTTGTTTAAATGATCGCATAGGCCAGAAACCAGTCATGTATCCCACAGGCCAGATCTGCCCCAAAGATGTGTTCTGTTTCACCCACACTGCTTTTTTGTTTTGAGTAGCTTGAATGAGTGGCTGATTTAAAAACAAGCTGGGGCTAGGTGTGGTGGTTTGGGCCTGTAGTCCCAGCTACTTAGGAGGCTGAGGCGGGAGGATCACTTGAGGCCAGGAGCCTAGCCCGAGCCACATAATGAGACCCTGTCTCTGCAAAAATAAATAAATAAATAAATAAATAAAATTGTTTGAAATTGAGAGACATTACAAAAAAGCCAGATTTCAGCTTTCCTTGCAAATTCAAGCAATCTGGCAGCGTTTCCCCATGGCAGCAGTCAACTAGAAGTGGTCCAGTTTGCTGCAGTCCCTACCATACCCTATTGTCCTATCCCAACTCCTGAGACTCACTCATTTTACCTGCCTGGTATCAGAAGGCATTTGGCTTTGTGACTTTTGAGCGAGGCTCAGAGAAATGACAACTGTATTGAGTTGTAATCACCATCAAATTCGGAAGCTTGGAGCAAAGGGATGGGCTTGAATTCCTAACGGTCTCCTGAAGGCAAGACCTCTCTGCACAAATCCAAAAATCACACAAAAAATCGACTATATCCATGACCATCCTCCGCAGTGCCCAGGTGTGTAATGACCTCTCCTCCCTGTGGTGCTCGAGAACTTACTTTCTGATCACCTGCACAGCCCACTTTCTCCTTTGGATCTCCTTCCGAGCCAGGGCTCCACGCCAGTGGGCTTCCAATTTGATGGCTGAAAGAGTTCACTGCTGGCATTAGAAGGCGAGCACAGTCATAGATAAATATAACAGGCTTTCCCAGAAAGTTGTGTCCACTCAGTGAACATCTGGACGCCCACCATGGCAACCTGCTAGCCCCAGAGTTGAATGTCATCTGTGCTTACGTGGGGGTGCTCAAACAACAACTGAACCAGGGAGACACAAGAACAGAGGGTACTGTGGGAAGCTTTCAGATCCCCAAAATTACATGAGGGGGTCAGAGTTTACCAGTCTTTCTCGGGGATAGGAATGGCACTTGGGATGGTATAGATTAGTCTTACCATGTGTTTAGCTTGCCTCACTCAGTGTGTACTTTGATTTAGTTGTCTACATTTAAAAATTAGGATACACACACAAACTGGGACACACAAAAATTAGATTCTAGCTTCTCCCAACTTTTAAATGCTCTTTGGATTTTTTCAGTTATTCAAATTATTTAAATGCTTTTTAAAAAAAAATTCCTCAGAGCAGCATTGTTTATATTACAAAAACAGGCAGCCGGAAACAACCCAAGTATCCCTCAACAGAACATTGAAGGTGTAGTATACTTATATAGTTCAGTGGGCCGGCAAACTACAGCCTGCAGGCTTGCTGCCTGTTTATATAAATAAAGTTTTATTGCAACACGACCATGCACATTTAGTTACATATTATCTAAAGTTACTTTCCTGCTACCATGGCAGACTTGAGTGGCTGTGACAGGAACCATAGCACACACAAGTCTAAAATGTGCCCTGATATGATGGAACATCAGCAGCTATGAACATGAATAAATCCAGACACAACCCCTTGCCGGATTTCAAAAACAATTTAGAGGGCAAAAATGCTGTCCAAAGGCCAGATGTGGGCTATGCCCCAAATCCTTGTGCTTTGGGAGGCTAAGGGAGGAAGATCACTTGAGGCCAGGAGTTAAGACACCACCCAACCTGAGCAGCATAATGAGATTCTGTCTCTACAAAAGATGAAAAAAGAAAAAATTAGCTGAGTGTAGGGGTATGCCCCTGTAGTTCCAGCTATTCGGGAGGCTGAGATGGGAGGTCTGCTTGAGCCAGGAGTTTAATACTACAGTGAGCTATAATCACATCACGGCACTCCAGCCTGGGTAACAGAGCAAGACCCTGTCTCTAAAATGAATAAATAAAAATGTTTAAAAATTAAGACTTAAAATGTTGCCCAAAACACCAACAGTATACTTTTATTAACTTTAAAACATGCCCAACTATAAATATATTACTAAGACATGCATCCATGGATGGTTAAACTATAAAGAAAAACAAGGGGCCAGGCACACAATTTAGAGTGTAAAAATGTTGCCAAAAGGCCAGGTGTAGATTGTGCCTGGAGCACCGTGGGAGGCTGAAGCAGGAGAATTGCTTGAGCCCAGGAGTTTGAGACCAGCCTGGGCAAGATAGTGAGACCTCATCTGTACAAAAAAAAATCAAAAGATAAGCCAAGTGTGGTGGTGCACACCTGTAGTCCCAGCTACTCAAGAGGCTGAAGCAGAAGGATCACCTGAGCCCAGGAGGTCAAGGCTGCGGTGAACTGTGACCATGTCAATGTACTCCAGCCCAGATGACAGGGTGAGACCCTGACTCAATAAATAAATAAATATAAAATACATAAAATGTTAAAACTTGGTTTAAAAAGAAAAACAAAGGAACGATCAATGCAAAATTCAAGAGAGTGTTATTTCCCAGAAACATGTGTGGGGTGGGCATTGTTGGAGAATGTGATTGGGGACGGACAAGAACTAGGGGCTTCAAGGGTACTTGTGGTATGTGAAATCTTTCTCAAAAAATTATTCGTTAAAGGTGCACAAGTTGTGAATCAGATCAAACACACCCATGGAACAAACACAGGCCCCTATGTTATCATCTCTAGTTAACAGGGTGAAGACGAGAAGAGGCCCTAGAACCTGACCGCAAAGCAGCCCCATGCCAAGGTTTCAAGGGCAGACTTAGAGAGAACTAGAAGATGAGCCTGTGCCCTGGGGGCCAAGAGGGTAAGAAGGAAAGGGTTCATCTCAGGACCCTGACCAACTAGGAGGTTCCGGGGTCATTCTTACCTGCTTGTCTTTTCCTCACATATTTTCTTCTTCCCAGGCAGCCTTTGTATGTGGCTTGGATTCTTGCAACTTAAAATAAGACAAAAGTTTTGGTGAAATGGTTCTTCATTTGTGCACCTTTGTGGTTGTCACCTCAGGGGGAGGGATGTCAGACGCGGGTCTCAAAGGCAACCTGGGAAGCTAAGTCTGCATCACTGAGATGCGAGGTGCCCACTTGGCAGGTTACCTTAAGCCTGGCTCCCAGACGCTGCCTGGTAATGGGAATTACTCTTTCCTTCCCCCCAGGGCAAGGAACGAAGGTGCTAAGAGTGCCCCAGTTCCACGCTGGGCATTAGGACCTGCCCCCCCCCCCGCCCAGTGCTAGGCCCCTGGCAATGCAGCTGTTGAGGAGTCTGAACTCAGGCCTAAGTGACCACAAAGCACACACTGGCCCTTGGCTCCTCCATCCTCTGTCCACCCCTCCCCACA